CACACGTGTCATACATAGTTTTCCTTAATTTTATTTACATCTTGATTTTCAAATTTTCATTTAACTTTTTTTTTATTATTTAAGTTCTAATATTATCCTGTAATGAAGAAGTCGCTAGTTACCGTCGAATCTTTTGAGTACTATCCGCATTAAACATATTAGAGATATTGAACAAAATGACTATTTTAAACATTTTGTCCCGTGTGTCGGGACAGAATCCACTCTCTTTTAAATATCTGTTTCTCTATTTTTCACTGTTTTTCCTTCGCGGTCTCTATCCTCAAACTCCGTTGCTCTAATTCGGTTAAGCACGTCCTAGAGACATGCCTCAAAAAGAGGAATTAAGTTTTTATGTCGCTAAAATGTATTACTCACGTACAAAATTGGAAGTTTTTATGTTCATTTGATATCATTAATCATCTATAAGAAATAAATGGCTAAGGCGAACTTAGGAATATATATGTGTAATCATTCATATTGACATACTATTAAAAATAAAACAGTTTTGTAAATTAAAGTCCAACAATGAAACTGAATTCAGTATTTAGGCATATAATTGACTAATGAATAATGAAATAGATTAATTTTCATGGAAAACAAAGTGTATTATTATTAGACCATACACAAAGCGGAATTTTACATATAAATTGCATGTCAAATTCAATGCTATAATTCGAAATATAATTGAAAGTTTCATGTTATGGTTTAAAACAAAAACGGCACTCGATTGAAATAAAATAAAACTGGGAAGATGAGTCGATAAAACGTGATCTTGGTCTTTTGCTATAATCAATGGATACAGCTTGATTTTGATTGATTCGAAGCTCAACATTGGTCTTCAATTTTGTTGATTCCTACAGGTATTGTGTGACCTTCTTTTATGAAACTTTAAAGAAAAGAAAATAGTATTCCTGAAATCCTCTGTCTTTTACAAACAGCAGTGCTATCCATTCCATATTTACAAAACTAATTAATGACTTTTATTCATGATTTCGTGCAAAAGATGTCGTTATTAATAGAGATTTAATTCAATCCAGGACCTTTCAATGTAATATTTCAAACGGAAAGCAGGAGTGGCAACAAAACAGTCTTTATCATGTTAAAATTGGCAGTTGTAGGTAGGGTTAATGTTCCTAGTAGAGCTGGAAACTCGTAAAAATATTTTCGTCAGCAGTAATTCAGTAAATTTCGAAGAAAGCAGCTTCATCAGGTTAATTTATGAAACCCAAATTTCAATTCTTTAAATACTTGAATAAAAATGTATTATTATTATTATATTTATCACTTTTTTGCTGCAAGGATAGACATTGATAGATAAAGAAAATAATAATTCACAAAGCAAACTTGCATACATCACTAGATAATGCTCTCACACTTTAAAAGTAAGGACAACTTTTGACCTAGCCGTCTTTGGCCATCATATTCATTTTATCGACATATTTTTCTCTGGGTCTCCTTATTTTATTTTTTTTTTTAATTATTCATGTAAGTTTTGATCATTATGCCTCACTAGACCCATTATGGTTCCTCCGGAATGCATGGGTTCTCTCTGAGCTCAATAGTCAGCTTTCCATGAAATATCGTATAATAAAAATGGCTATCGAACGCTTTCCAATACGTTTTTTACAAGTGCGTATGAAAACTACAAAGAGTTAACATTAGAATATACGGCCCAAACTGGCATTGCTGATATTATTCATTTAGAAAACATTCAGTGGCCAACACTGTATGAGAAAGATTATATCAAGAAAAATATCTTTCCTTCAAAAGAAATTACCAATAAAACCATATTCGTAACTGCCTTTATTTAATTAGGACTACGACGAAAATAAGGTTATGTCAAAATGTTTCAACGAGACAAAGTTTTTTCATCATTATTACTTCTTCTCTGGTGCGCTCATTCTGTGTGGTCCGTTTTAGCTCAAACAGACCAGTAAATGTCTTTTTAGAAAATTAACCGTATTCTGCCTCGACCAGACCCTTTTCACAAGTTTCTATTTTCCGTTAATTAAGTCAGTTAAATAAAGTTTATTAGTATTACAATGGGACGAAGTGTAGTTTTGTGACATTATAGTCTGCAGAAATATTAGTAGATATAGAACCAATTTTAATTAAAATGTCATATTCGAGCCAGTCATTTAGAAACTTTTTTGTCAAGAGCTGATTAGAAATATAATAGCTATATTAATTAAATTGTTTAAAAAATAAAGTGACTCCCAGTAATACTATAATGCTATTTTTCAGGGCAAACTAAACACTCCATTTTTCCAGGCTTCCATTCACACAATCTCGTAATGCAATTGACGAGGATTCCTCCTGATCCTAAACGAGAGTAATATCCACAAATCACGGATAGCACAGGACGAACATTTTTAAAAGGAAAGCAAGCAGAAAAGAAAAGCCCCTATTGATCCGGGACACTTAAGTAGATCTGGGTCGACACTAGCAAACTCAAATTTCGTTAACGTCTATCACCTTTTTATTTTTTTTTCCTTTACCGTAAGTGGGTATTCAGTTATTGGCAGTTTTGTTAGTTTTTTCGTCATTGGTTTTAGGTTGGAACTAGGAGGTAATAAGGGAAAGATGGATTGGATAATATACTGGGTGGTACAACAATAGAATCTGCATTTATGAGGACAGTTATGTCCTATTTTCTAATACACATTCATGTACCTACATGTACACGTCTGTTTTTAGCACAAAAACTCGATACCACATGAAATTTTTCTATTCGATGCTCTTCAAAAGAAGCTGGTCAGGCCTAATAGATATTTAATTATTGAAATAGTATCTGATATAATATGTGATTGCAATATCAATGATGTAAAATAGGCAATAAACATTTCAAAACCAGTTTATTATAAATAAGAAACTACATATATATTTAGTTATCTTGTGTAGGTTTGTAGCAGGAGAACAATTTAATTATGAAATTTGAGTGCTTAGTTTTAATAATAACGTTATTTTTTGTTAAATGCAGTTTTTTTAGTAAAAAAGGTAAGTCCAAAATGTATGTTTTTTATTAAAAATATGTAAAAAATACTTTTTCTACACCCGTATTATAATAATGCACTTATATGCCCATAATCCGTTTCATAATGATACCCATTATGATACAGATTTTTCATTACGATACAGATTTTTCATTACGATACAGATTTTTCATTACGATACAGATTTTTCATTACGATACAGATTTTTAATCAATAGAAACCTACAATTTTTCAATCAAGCATGCTGTTTGACGTTTGTCCTAGGTTCCTATGTATTTGTTTTAGTTGTCAAAACGTATTAAATTTTGGTAGATAACTAAACTTCGTTAATTATAATATTAAAATGTCTGATATCAGCGATATAGAAGACTCCTCCACACATATCGGAGAAAGCAGAAAATACAGTACAAAATATTTTGCCGCAAAAATCTAGGGAAATACCAATACCCGAAGTAATACCATTAATTACAATTTTGTAGAATTTTTTATAGAAATACACGAGTAATTATTGTTATTGTGTTCAATACCAATATGAATATAATATTTATAGTTCTTGATTATTTATCGGGTGTAGAAAAAATAGCGTATGCAACTCTCATATAATGGTTATTAATACACTCGCATAAACCATACGAAACTCGCCTTTGGCTCGTTTCGTATCCCGGTTAATGCTCGTGTATTAATAACCATCATTACATGATCGTTGCATAATATACTATTTTCTACACCCGTATTATAATAATGCACTTATATGCCCATAATCCGTTTCATAATGATACCCATTATGATACAGATTTTTCATTACGATACAGATTTTTCATTACGATACAGATTTTTCATTACGATACAGATTTTTCATTACGATACAGATTTTTAATCAATAGAAACCTACAATTTTTCAATCAAGCATGCTGTTTGACGTTTGTCCTAGGTTCCTATGTATTTGTTTTAGTTGTCAAAACGTATTAAATTTTGGTAGATAACTAAACTTCGTTAATTATAATATTAAAATGTCTGATATCAGCGATATAGAAGACTCCTCCACACATATCGGAGAAAGCAGAAAATACAGTACAAAATATTTTGCCGCAAAAATCTAGGGAAATACCAATACCCGAAGTAATACCATTAATTACAATTTTGTAGAATTTTTTATAGAAATACACGAGTAATTATTGTTATTGTGTTCAATACCAATATGAATATAATATTTATAGTTCTTGATTATTTATCGCGTGTAGAAAAAATAGCGTATGCAACTCTCATGTAATGGTTATTAATACACGAGCATTAACCGGGATACGAAACGAGCCAAAGGCGAGTTTCGTATGGTTTATGCAGTTTAAACCAGAAAATAGCACTTAACGAGGCGTTTTAGCCACTAATTTCGGCGAATTTTAAAGAATCATTAACAAGAGATTAAGAGTTTAAATTTAGGGATTGCATTAAGAATAGTGTTGTTGAGGAATGCATTTATTTACATTATGATATTTTAAAATTTAAAGCCCTTTGATTTTTTTTCTCGGAAACTGGAAGGAATTAAAACTTTAAAAAATATGCATATTCTAGATATTATTGCCTTATTTATGTTGCCCAAATTTAAGTTTTCTAAAAACATTACTTTTTGAGATATCCTTGTACAAAAATTATATGGGGGTGCTGTAATCACCTTAAGTGCTATACGAAATTGAATGTTTATTTTGAATCAACAAAAATCACAAAGAGGTGTATCTTAATTTTTTGTGTACGTTTAATTGGATATTTAGAGGATTTAATAACATATTCCTGATTCAAATAGACGCAAGTCCGGATCTGTCAAAGTTAGTATCTTCTGTTTGCGGTCAAAGATTTATATGTTTTTATTTAGATTTAATAATCATATATAAATACATATTTATCAACGACAACGAATAGCTTAGATAAGACCAATTTATTTTAAACATTGTCGGTATATAAATAATTGAGATTATTTCGTTCTGCAGTTAGTCTACAATATTTTAAATATTTATTTTTAATTACCTATATTATTTAAAAACTCATAAATAATGTAAATTGTTAAAGAAGAACTCAAAAATATAATCCCCAATTTCACAAATTTCGACGAAATAGCATTTATAAAACCGTATCTAGACAGTAGGAATATTATCTTTGAGTTGACGTCTACTGACAATAGTATAAAAATAAATGTGTGTTGCAGTTATTCAAACGATAATTCTACCATGAAGACTGTTGTGTTGATTATATTGTTAACTTTGTTTATTGTTGACTGCAAATTTGTCAACAAGAAAGGTTAGTACTCGAAAATTATTTAATTGAGGAGTTTTCCTACAAAATTTGCTTTACAGCACTAGCGATGTAAAGTACGTAAAAGTCAAGCAAAAGTTTTTTTATGTCATTTTCGATTTTAAATAGGTATCTGCAATTAAAAAGCTTTTTTAGATTCAACGGTAACTTTGCTAAATTAAATCGGTTTATCAATAGTATAATATGAAATAAATTAACTATAGTTCTTATTATTAAATATTTTCTAACTTTTCTATACCCTTCTAATATTTACTTAAAAATTCCTGTAAAAAAGGAACAACTTACAATGGGTGCAAATTTGTCATAGCAAACATGCAAAACAGTTCCATATTTTATTAAAATGACTGTGAAAATATTCAACGCGCATACTGCATTTTACATCTTGAATCGAATTGAAAATTCTAGAATACATGTTTCACAAATATTTGCTGTGGTCTTGCTCCATTCAAACGAATTTCTACCGTTGAAACGTGAGGAAAATTTTAATAAATTATGAGTCTTTGTTTAACGTAACTTTGTTTCAATTCTCATAAAACGATTCTTAGAAATATTCAAAGCATCTCCAACGTCTTGAATCGGATAGTTTTCGCGAATATTTTCTTTAAAATGGCAACCCTAGCCTTTTGTTTATGCTAAGCAATGAAAATCAAATTTTTATTATAGATGCCTACGAAATAATGATTAAAGGTTTAAAGGAATACAAAGCGACAGGCAAAAGACCGACCTATCTGGAAGCAGCTGTCAAGTATTACAATACACCTAACTGGTTCTTAAACCCCACGTCAAAAATCAATCAAAACGAAGTGTGTACAACGTGCGCTTTGATAGGAGATTTGATGATTCATCAGAGGAAGCATGCAGGATTAAATGATACTGATTTTGCTAAAGAAATCAACTTCTTCTGTAACCTTTACTCTGGAAATACTGAAAGAGTATGCGAGGGGTTCACAAGCTTAAATTCAGTAAGATTATTTTCAGTTAATATCTAATAAACTAAAATAGAAACAGACTATCAGAAAGGTTTAAGATTGTATCCCATTTTTTACACATAATTTATTTAATTTTTAATTTATTTCAAGCAAAAAGTCAGTCACTTCTTGAGGAAGAATATGTAGATCGAAAAAAACTTCATTTCATTTAATAAAGAACGTACCTATAGCTTTTATACCTACATAACTAAATGGATATTCTTTTAACAAAAATGTTCGAATCAATATCACTACGATATTAATAGCTCACTTAACCTAATGATACTACGACACAGCAATATTATAAGAAGGTAAAAATTATATAGGCAGTTAGATAAAGGCAATGTTTGCAGTATTGCCAAATTCTTTGCTACTGGTACATTCTCATTAAAAATAAAAATAATGAGCTGTAGTTTGAGATTATAGCAAAACAAGGCGTGTAGATAGGTACCATATTTTTCGACAAAATTGTTTATTTGTAATTTTATTTTAGCCAGTATTTTTGTACATCATAGATCACAGTGACAAATTAACAGGAATTGATGTCTGCAGTATATCTTTTCAATACCAAGATTGTATTTTACCGAATAAATATAACTGGACTATTGAAGTACCGACCGGAAATACAGTAGCGAAACCAGAGGTTGGTATTATATATTCTTCATAGAAATATTTTTTTACGTTCCCTGAAAATTTTATTTACAAATATCATTTCTTTAAGCGGCTTCTTTAAAAAAGAAGCTTTTAAAAAATGATTCCATTATTTCTTTGAGAGTATTTGTTTTATTGAAACGTATACGAATTTTCTTTCTGCTTCCAATATACAAACGAAAATAAAGTGTTTGTGACTTGGATTTTGTAAGAAACTTTTGGCAGTTTCACAAGTATACAGAGTAGTCGAAAGAACAAACCAAACTTCACGAAATTAATGGTATTTTTATAATAATGCAAACAGAAAAGAGTAATAAACTGTAATCCACAAAAAATGTTTCTAAAGTAGGTCATGGAGGACAGAGAGTAGGCACGACTCTGAATTAAATTTAAACTGATAATTGTACGTTCCGACATCCGTGAATATTTCCAATTTTATTTTTAGTCAACAGGAACCAAATCGTTCAATATATTGCACATTACCGACATCCATTACGACCCCAGATACACGGCGAACAAAACAAATGACTGTAGTGAACCAGTGTGTTGTCAAAATGACCAAGCAGATGGAACCACGCCAGAAAACAGCTGTGGGTATTGGTCAGATTACATACAGGCTGATATTCCTTGGAGAACCGTAGTTAATGCCCTAGATCAGACCAAAAAACATGTAAGAATCTTTTGCAAATTTGGTGAATTTTACTCTTCTGAAAAAAGTTATCGAAAATGTAAAAAGAAATCAAAATATATTAAAATATATCTAACTATGTCAAAATATGCTTAAAATATGTTAAAAATATATTAAAACATGTTATAATATCTTAAAATATGTTAAAATATAACAAAATATGTAAAAAATGTTAAAATATGTTTAAAAAAAGTCAAAAACGTCAAAGAATGTTAAAACCCTAAAAATAAATCTTTAAAATTCCAACAATACCGACAAATTCTTTAAAAAACTAAAAGAAGTAAAAAATCAAATCACCTAAAAAAAATGTAAACCCAAAATAACACCAAACAACGTCAAAAATTCATTTTAATCTATCAAAAATGTTCAAAATTAAAAAACAAGTTAAAAAATGTCTAAAAAAAATCTTTCAAATACCCAACAAAAGAGTCCTAATATAATATCTGAATAAATATAAATCAAATTCATATTTTCTACATTCACACAGATTTTCCATCGGTTCTTGCAGTCATCTATCTTTTAAAAATAAAATTAAAGGAAGTGAGATAAACTCGAAGACTGTATCACAAAAAACGTTGGGCGACGTTGTTCTTCGTAAAAAAACAAATGTTTTTTTAGATACTTTAGTTTTGATATAATGCAATGCCTGTTGCGGTATTAGCCAAAGGAGGAGTTGTTTTCAGAAGGGAAACAGTCGCATAACGTTCTTGTAACTTTACTTTTTTCCCATTTCCTTTAATTTTATTTTAAAAACGGTCACATTTGTGTGTTGTCATATATTTCTTTTAGGACTATGACTATGTTTATTTTACTGGTGATATCATACCACACAGGATTTGGAATACCAGTATAATGGATAACACCCAAATTATAGCTCAAGTATTAGACGCTTTAGATCAAACCTATAAAGTCCCAGTTTTTCCAGCACTTGGTAACCATGAGGCACATCCCACTAATCTGTAAGGAAACCTTTTTGTTACTGAATTTATACCCCTAAATTGCACCATACTGTATGTTTTAGATATTCAGAAATTAAAGATCCCTCTTTTTCAACCCAATGGTTATATGACATTTTATTCCAAAAACTTTCAAAATGGATGCCCATAGATGAAGTTAAAGAAACAGTATTGAAGGGCGGCTACTATACAGTGTCGCCAAAAAAAGGATTGAGAATAATAGTGTTGAACAATAATGTCTGTATATCTGATAATTGGTAAGTTTTTCTTCATACGCAATGCTCTTTTTGATCAAACATTTTTAAATTCTATATAGGTGGTTGGTTTATAATCCTAATGATCCCTATGATCAGCTAAAATGGTTAGCGAAAGTACTTTTAAAAGCAGAACAACATAACGAAAGGGTTCATCTGTTACATCACGTGCCGTCTGGACGAAATGAGTGTTACAGAATTTGGGCTAGAGAATTTAGGAATATCATTGATAGGTTAGTTTTAATTTCTAATGGTTTCTTATTAAAAAACTTAACATATATTCATTCTCCTGTAATAGATGTGCGGTGATATTCCATAATATAATTATAGTCGCGTCAAAGTAGGACTAAAAACGCAGAAACCTCGAACGTTGGTCGGAAAGGTCCGATTGGGCTATTTCTTTCTGCAAAATGTTCATTGAGACATGAGATTCAAAGTTCACCAAAATCTAGATGCCGCCCGGCCTCCCTTCCGCCCCAAATTCACCCCAATTGGGGGGAATTCTCGGCTTTTTTTAACAAACCACATACTTTCTAAAACTGCAGTCCCAAGCGGGGCAAATGTTCCACTCGGGGGGGTTTGAAGTGCCCTGAATCCATTAATTGGGTTAGGTCGCCTTTGCGACCTTCCCAGGGGTGTGTGACTGGGCGTCTGGGGGTCCAAAATATGAGATGTCCGTGAAAATGTGTTTGGGCTGCCAAGTTGCGTCAGGGGGTTTAGAAGGGCGGGGATCTCAATTTCATCGAGAATTAAGCCTTTGCAAGCGATCAGAGCCATATACACAGGGGCGCATGGGGTCTCAAATTTCATGATTACGCGGGATTGAATTTCAGGACTACAAACTCTATATTGTCTGATTGTTGAGGTGCTACAAGTAGATTGTTATAAAAGGTCTTCGCCTCTTCTTTTTTCAGATATTGTGTCAAATCCTTTAGGTTAGCCATTTTCCCCGGCGGTACCTCTAAACGAATATTATATAACGGTTTAAATTCAAATTCTTTGAGTAGACAACGCTTATTTCTTATCAAAGATTTTTCCCAGTTTCCAGCATAGGTTTGTCTTACCAAAACAACCCCCGGTTCATTTAAAGTGTATTTCAACATACGCGCTGTTTTGATGTTTACTGGTGGGCGAGCTGATTTAAGAAACAATGAGGAAACTACATCTGCAATATTATATATCATAGATTGATCAACATTAGTTACAGTAAACGGCGATGGGTTGTGCCTAGCATTCTTGATGACGTTGTCCCATGCTGTAGGAACTTCAATAGTTACTGTTTTTTTATGTTTTTCTATTAATGAAAAGTCTTGGTCGCAACTTAGGAAAGAATGGCCACGTACATATGTGGTTTTTGATGAAAACTGCTGCTGACATATGGGGTTTATGCAGAATGATCGATTTTGCGGAATTTTTTCATGCAAGGGACATAGATACTTACGTTATATACCCATAAGTGCCATAATATAAAATTCCGGAAAAACTGACATATGGGGTTTTTGCAAAGAACGCCTCAATTGTTTAAAGAAAGAGTGTGATAATTTAAAATTGGCGGCAACTGAAATTCAGCCTGTCGACAACCTTGATTCAATATTGGATTTAAACCTCTTAATAGAAAGATACAAACCTTATATGGACAATTTATTGGGGACGATTTTCAAGGTCACTGAAACAGATGATTTGTTGGAAGAAGCTGAACAAGAAGATGGAAGAATACAACACGATGGAATATGAATTTGTTGTAGAAAAAAGAAAAAAAATTATATTATTCTGTAAGAATTGTTTTGTTGAAATGTCAAATTTTTCTATCACACCAGGCTACATTAATTATTCATGAAAAAATATAATTCCATTTCACGTTGAAGTATTTCTTTTTCAATTCCATATCCACCGCAACCGTTTTACCAGCCTCAAAAGGTTAGCTCCCCGGCCAGGTGAGTTATATCAATTTTATGTAATGAAATCAAATCGAATTGTCCCAGGTGAACATGATAGTTTCGGCCCCTCAGGACGCTTGTTCGTGCAGCCCTGGGGCTACATGCTTGCAACATAAAAGTAAACCCTTAAAAACCCGCATTATGCCGTCATCAACTTTATATGAGAAAATTGAATTTTACGAGAATTTAAATTTGGGCCCAGCCATATCTAGGTTCGTCAGAGACTCAAAAGGACCAAGAAGTATACTCGGTGGAGAAATTATATCAATTTTACATTTTGATATCAAATAAAATCAAATCTCATATTTTGGGCCCAGCACCCTGTTCGGACACCCCTGGTTGGGTCACGGGATGACAGGCTGCCCAAATTGAGATTTGTTTATTTTATAACACTAGCGCGTACCAATTGTGTGTCCTGAAATTCAATCCCGCGTGATCATGATATTTGAGACCCCATGGGCCCCTTTTTATACGACCCTGAGGGCTTGAAAAGGCTTAATTCTCGATGACATTGAGATCTCCGCCCTTTTAAACTCCCCTAGCGCAATTTGGGAGCCCAAATACTTTTCCACGGACATCTAGTATATTGGACCCCCAGTGGCCCTGTCACCCACCCCTGGGAAGGTCGCAAAGGCGACCTGACCCAAATAATGGATTCAGGGTACTTTAAAACCCCCGAGTGGAACATTTACCCCGCTTGGGACTGTAGTTTTATGAAGTATGCGCCTTTTGTTGAAAAAATCCGAGAATTCCCCCCAATTGGGGTGAATTTGAGGGGAGGGAGGCCGAGCGGCATCTAGATTTTAATGAACTTTGAACCTCATGTCTCAATGAACATTTTGCAAAAAAAATTAGCCCGATTGGACCTTTCCGACCAAAGTTCGAAGTGAAAACCTACTTTTACGCGACTATTAACGATTTCTTGATAAATACTTAGGTTCGCGAATACCATAGCTGCCCAATTCAATGGTCACACTCATAGAGATGAATTTTATATTTACTACAACAGATCAAATCCCCAACAAGCTGTGAGTACAGCTTGGAATGGAGCCTCTGTAGTAACTTATGATAAAGCTAACCCAAGTTACAAGGTTCTGAAAATTGACACTAAAACTTTTGTAAGTAAATTTTTAGTCATCCTTGTTTTTATATCGAAAACCTTTTTGTTGGTATATATTTATTTAAGAAAACTACCAAAAACATTCCGCACACATATCCTGAAACATCTTTAAAAAAACTGGAGCTACATAATCTGAAAATATGTAATACAAGCTTAAATCATCTTGTTTAAATATAATGATTAGATTTGAATTATCTCTAATCAATTGCTTTGAGATTTTCGAATATGTTTGGACCAAAAATATTTCTGTGTCGTGCTATATTAATTAATAACATCCTGTTTTTCACAAATCACAACGTCAAACATTAATATAGAATTCGGCTTGTCATCTACTAGTTGAATTATATTTTTATTATTATTGAGTATTCGTTTTTTTATTCTTTTGAATATAAAATATTTTTAAATCTAACATTATTCTCATGTTCTTTATCTTCATTCATATTCTTTCGATGTTTAGAACTGTATTCCTACATTTTATAAATTTATAAATGTTTTAACTTTTTTTGTTCTGCTAACATAAATTAAAATCCAATGTTTTTCTTAGGATCTATTAGATTTTGAAGAATGGACATACAATCTCACTTTGGCCAATTTAAATGGTGACAAAAATCCTGAATGGTACAAACTTTATTCGTTTAAAGAGGCCTATGGAGTCAAAACTTTGGAGCCTGAAGAAATGAGTAAACTAGTTTTTCAGATGACCAAAAAACACGAACTGATTGATCAATATTATCGGTAATAGACTTATTTCAATAATACATGATTTAGAGTTAGGGAGCTGCTAACAGGATTTTTATTTACCCATTTCGGAGTAATTTTTTAATGCTGTTTAACATTTAGTCCGTCTATTGTATTTTGCTGTTGTTGAGGAAGTTACTGAAGATAACGAAATTCCGAAGAAAAGCGATAAAATTAACTTTTTTATAAAAAAAAATTAAAAAAAAAGTGAAAATATCCGTTTCATTTGGGACACACTGTAGGTCTAGGATTTGTCCATTGTTTTTCTCCACTCTTTCCTCTATCATTTATCAATTAATTTTATTGTTAAATGTTATCTATATAGTTACTCGTATTAGTTAGTTATTTGTTGGTAATTTTTTGATGTCATCATTTAATAATATTCGTTTATTTTTTAGGTTTAAATTTAGAAACGGGGACATAGCTCTTCAAGAAGGATGTGATGATGATTGTAAAAAAGATTTGCTATGCACTATGGTAAAGACTGAATATGGCGATGATACTGTTTGTGACAAAGTCAAAAACCTATATGATAACAATGAAAATATTAAAGTAACGATGTTATAAAAAATATAATCATCGAAGCTATTTTCTTTTGAATATATATTATTTTTTCTTTTGCAAAAATAATTGACCTATAATTTAAGAACGCTGGCTGGGCACAAAAATCTTTCCTCCTTCACCCCGATTGATTAATCTCAGCCTTTTAGTTATAATGGCATTTTACCGAGGATCGTATGTTTTCCGATCCTAATTAAGAGGCGGCTTTCAGCAAACACGGGACCGATCAAAGTTTATGAATAATAGCGGAAAACGATACTTATTAATAATGCTTCTGACGTCGGTAAACAAGCCTCTTTGGTTTCAAACCACCCCCGTTCATTTCAACCCCCGCGTCTTGTTAAGAATTCATTTTCCTAATGTGTATGTATAAACGACGATGAAAAAAACATCGTGACAAGTGACTGACAGTTTGTTTTGGAGTTCCGCGAAAAATGTTGCAAGGAATGTCTCTGAGATGTATCGATACAAATTTAACGTGAGATAGTGAGATTCTTATATTTTTATGCTTCTTTAGTAGTTCTATAATGAATATTATGTTAAAATTTAATTAGAAGCGGCTTATCTGTAAGTTGTATCGGGCTACAGCCCCCATTACAAGAAAAACCATAAAGATATATAATGAGAAGGACTTCTTTCGATTTAAAACTTACTCAGATAGATAAAATTTCAAAAGGTTCATATACAAAACATTTCTCAGTATCGTACCCTAAACGTTTTGTTTTGTTTTCTCTGTTTATCTATAGTACGATTTTCCCAAGTACCTACAGATTTCATTGACTAGTATTACAACAAAAAAATAACCTAAAACGCTTTCGTTAAATTTTAACTTATTATGATATAATTATTAGTATATTAATTCAGTTGTATCTACCGTAAATCCAACTTATATTGAAAGGAAATCATAAAAATTAAGTAACATTAAGTAACAGTTGAAATTATATTTTTTGTTAACAAAATAAAAACAACTACCAACTAATCACCAATTTGCAAAAACAAAACTTGTAGGCGTGCTTAATATAAAAATATAACGACAACTCAATCTGGAATGTCAATTAAAAAAAAAACAAATGCCTAAAATAATTGTTTTCCCACAAACATTTCTATATTTTCCAATCGAATATTATCAACCAACCATCTCTTTGACAGGTCATTATTTTGCTGGAACGTCATTACGTTTGATTCGGATTATTGCTTATCTACTGAGCTTATCGCTATTGCTCATCCTCTTGTTTACAGGCGAATTCATTTGTTTTCCAAATAGGATAGCGAGTGGATTGATGCAACGGATTTTTTCGTACAAGATTCTGATCTGTATTACTCGAATTCGATACGATTGTTAGGAATTCGGAAAATCGACGAATTAATAAAAAAATTGAAGTTATAGTTTTTTTATTAAACTTCAAACCACAAATATTAAATCGTATATGTTTATGGTGGCTAGGTTATCTTTACCAGTAAGTCAAATCAAATTATCAATTATCTATAAGTCGCCCCGAAGTGCCACGGCAAATAATAAAGACATGCAAGCCATTTCGAACTTTTTGTCATTCTAATAGAACTAAAAATTTGTCTAGTTCTATTCTTCTGTCGTCTGGTGTCGTTAGTTTCTCGCCGTAGACTCTCCTTTAACATATCCCTTGATATATAAATCTAGAGGCGTGGTGTTTAGGGACTTTGCTAGCCACTGAATAGATCCGTTTCTTCCTATCCATTTTTTTCTGTGCTATCTATTTAAAACGTTTCTTACCAGAGTTTGATTTTGGGGAGGTGCGCCATCATGTTGGTAGTATTAATTTCTCCATTTGGTGGACCTTCAAAGAAATATGGTAATATGACCTGATTCCCAGTTATGCCTCCCTGAATCATTTATCCCATTTTTTGTGCATTATTAATGATAGGTCGTCTAGTTTGGGTATTATTTCCATTGTGAATAGTTTTGCTTACCTGGTCTCTTCTGTATTGTATCTCCTTTCCCACTTCGCATCCTCTATATCTTGCTGGATATACTTGATTGTAATTTGCTCATTTGGTGGTACATTTGCCGGCTTATTCTTTATGGATGAAGTTTATTTTTTATCAACATTCCGTCTACGTACTAACAAGAGGAATTATAACTTCTTTAACTTCTTTTCCATATCTTTTATTTTCTCTTCAATGGAAGACATCCTATTTTCCTTATCAGCAGAAATGTCATTTCTTATAGATGATATTTTACTTTCTAAGTCAGAAGAAAGTTCGTTATTTAAAAAAGATATATCAGAAGTGATTTTATTTTCTAAAGTATTTGTCGTTTTTCATCGAAGTCATAGGTATAGAATAAACTAATTTCTTATGAAGAAATATCAAAATAAACTTTATTTTATGACCAATAAATGTCAAAAGACTTTATTTTCTAACGAAGAGATATTAAAAGAAATTGAAGAAATAGAAGACACGTCAGCCGAAAATAAAAACTTTATATTTGCAATCAGTTCTGCTTTCAGTGATTATTTTGACAAAATATAAATATTATTAGTCAAGTAGGAGACTGAGAGCATAAAACCATCTTTTTTAAACTGCCTGAGATCTTTTTCATATATTTATAATCAATACTAATTCTATACATAATCTGAAAATCTCAAAGCAAGAACAAGGCATCCAATTTAAGAGAGATTATTCAAAAAACCACACTCTTATATTGTTAATAATGTAATTTCTGGTTTTTACTCTCTCAAACAAGCAGTGATATTTTTAGAAAGACCGTAATCTTTCTAGAAAAACCTTTCAACTGTCCTCGTGCAGAATTTCTCACGAAAAAGTTCGTCACATTTTCATTTCATTAAGTCCATTGTTTGTAAATGTTCAAGGCAGAAAGGTTTCCGCTAGATATATTTAATATTTTCCAGAGATTCAAGGAGTCTTGGAAGCGTATTTACGCGGTCAAAATAAAAGAAAGGACACTCAGTTTTCTACTGGATATTTTTTGGTATAATACAAGTAGCTACTTCATTGTAATAAAAAGCTCTTCAAACTGCTTATAATCTAGGGCAAAAACACAATATCCTTTAATAAGGAGCTTGGATTCTCTTAAAAGAGGAAAGAATAACCACTGAAAACAGCACCCATCTTTGCATGTGTAATTCTAAAAGTTTCAGGAGTTGATATTGGATTTTAAATTATATTTTTGTCAGTTTTTTTTTGAACATTTTTCAACATACGTTTTAATTTTGAAAATATATATAGAGACAAAGGAACATATTGTGGCTTCATGTACAGCTTTGTCTTCATTATCAATTAAAGTGTCGTTATTTACTACATCTTGAGCAGAGTTGTAGTATTCAAAATTTTTGTACAAAGTTTTTGAGTTTCGAATTCGTCAAAAGTTTCACTTGAATTTGAATTTACCCAATTTTCAACGCGTGCGAATTAGGATTTGGTTTTGAGTAGGAAGATACGATGAATACATGAAGAAAAATAAGTCAAATGTATGTAAAAACTCTAAAATTTTCTTTCCGATGTCTTGTTTAAAAATATGCAGTTAATTTTACAATTGGACCCGAAGAACCATGAAAATAAGTGACTTACTTTTGCTCGCTGTCCAAAATTTTGTATAGTTTACTATTTTTTTACGGATAAAAATGTATGTATGTTTTAAACAATCACTGAAAAACTGCTATTAATGAATAGGAACTACAACAGGACTGTCAAATATTGGAGTTGGAAAAAGATTATTGATAAATTACAAACTCTGTTTTTACCTAAAATAAATGAACGGCTTATCTGTGTTAGCAATAGTATTTTAAAGTATTTTTTATACCTCTACCTCAATCACTAAAACTAGTATTTTATATTGTCCTTCTTATTTCATAACCAGAACTCATGTGCTCTCCTCAAATTTCGTGATTTTTTCTTTTTTTTTTTTAGTTCTGTCACCCATGTTCATACTGGTAATTGAGCGTGAAATAAAGGTACACCGTTCTCGACAATCTTGACGGGTTTGTTGTGAAAATATGGTCTTTGCGAACCGTTTCATTTTCAGTTTCAGTTTAAATGGTTTATTTTACTTTATGCGATTTAGCCGTCCTTAACTGAACAGTAAAAGACGACTTTATGAAGCGGAAGAGGACGATAGTGACGATTTATACAACAGTAATGAGTAAATAATTTTATAAAATGTTTCCTAGACCAAAGGGAATGTTTATTTTAAAATTTGTTCAGTAATGCTGTACAGTACGTTAATGTTCCTGGACTGGAATACTCTATAGAAAAAAGGACGCTGTTGAATAGACATAAATAGTTATCACTCTAATTAGGTAGAAAAATTTAGAAACCCCTGAATGTAAGTACAAATAGCCTAAATTTCTAAAAAATATAAGACTTACCTTGACTTTTCTGCCGCGCTTGGCGGCAATAGCCCGGGATTTTCTCCGTATCCGATCCAGAGGTAACAGCTGCCGAAACTCACAACTCAAATACTCCTTTTGTGTCGGAGGTTTTTTCTAAGGACTTCGGTGTCCCTTGACGCGAAGTTGAGGCGCCGCGACGGTCGAAGTTCGATGACGACGACGCTTGAGAACTCGAGAAGTTCTATAAGGTAGCCTCCGCTAATTTCGGTTTCAGAAGTTGCGACTTCCAAGTTTTGCTTCTGGAACAAGTTGGGTGTGGTTATAAAGTGTCTGTTTGTGAGGGGTAAAGTTTGGATGAGAATTAGATTTTGATATGAGCAGTTAGAGAAGGTAATTAGGGGTCTAAAGAGAGTTTTTAATGCTAAATAAATACATTTTTGATTGCCGAATAGATATTACATCCAAAGATAGGACAAAAATAGCATTAATAGCATTAAAACGGTACTAAAATATCCCATAGGTGTTTAAGTTTTAACATCATATTCATTAACATTTATCTACAGCTAAAGTTTCATGTACGCAGCAATACAAATATTTTATACGATGTTAGTTTATACAACTCCCAATAATATTGCATACAGGTTAGCACAGTAATGTGTACAAGCTACACAATTTGACTGGTATTTAGTATTTTATTCAAATTTCTTAGTTTTACGTTGAATATTAATTTAGACTATTGTATTATCTGTAGAAGACTTGAGAACACATATTTTCTATTGCATTAAATAGATGATAAATAAATTCATCTACCTCTACATAGTCCACACATTCTTTAAAAGAGGCCTGATGGTAGAATAAGAAGCCAAAATAAAAAGTTAGGGCTCCAATATAGGTATTCATTCACTATTTTCACTCTGAAGCTGCTAGTTTGATATTTAAAAGCATGCACGTACGACTTGGTTATATCTTGTTAGTTGAATCATTATTCTGCACTTTTTTAACATCGTTTGTATGAGTGAGATGTGAGATACCTTCATACAGACAGCGATTGAACAACTTAACTATTTTGAAGATATCAGGACAGTCTTCGCATATGTAAAAATGACAGACCTGTTTTAAACTTTTATATATATGAGAGTCAAAAATGTTTGAATTTCGAAACTGAAATATTAGTTTAATTAATTACTATTTAATTAAAAATACAACGCTATAATAATAATTAGTGGAAGGTCTACATTGTTTCATCACAAAAGTAAACGTTTCTACGCTGGGGGTTAAACGGTTAAGTGTCCGCCCAATAGATGAAAACAAAAGGATAAACAAAAGTTGCAAAATAACAATGTGATGTTAAGTTTTTATTAATTAAACGTTTTTATGAATAATGCGTGCTTATTACTATCTCTTTTGACGTCTGTACCAAACGCATCATTTGAAACTCCATGTTTTCTCCCAATTTTACCCTTTCAAACGCTTCCATTGTTCGCAGTAACCAACAAACAATACAATTCGTAACCTAATAAAAAAATTATCATAAACTGTTTGCAATTACTTCGCTTGCTCCTTTATTTATGGAATAAATTATAAATGGTAATTCATTGTAACTACTATCTCAGTACAAACAAAGTATATTGTTTTTAATAAAATGTTGTATATCAGTGATAATCGTTATGAATGTTGACAAGATAAGATTAATATTATTAAAATTATTAGGAGATGTTATCGATGATGTTTCTGGGATATTATAACAATAATTCAGTTGAATAAAAATCAAAATATCATTGTAAACACTATTGGAAAAGTGTTTGAAGAAGTAGAATAAAAAAAACTACTCAAAACCTAATTAGAAAAAGTAAAGAACTATTAAAACTACTAGAGAATTACTTTTAAACCCCTAGAAAAACATGTTTTATTCAAAATATTGATGGTGAGAATAATTAGACTTCATTTCCACGTAGCGCATCGTCAGTAATTTGTGGAAATTGTTCTATCTTCTATCTTCTATCTTTTAATAATAACTTCAAAGTCAACCTCAGTTTTTCTATAATCCTGGTTAAGCCATTAACTCCGTATACATCATATTATTCTCTTTATATTCTTCAAAAAATACACGTAATTAAGAATTCTAGATTCAAAAGAGAATTTAAAATCAAAAGCGATATGAAATCTGCAAAATATGAGCTTAAAACTAATTTAAAATGATTTTAATTAAGAATGGGAAAGTGTTTCTAGTATTAATTCCCATAGCCAAGTTCAATACAAAAAGGAATTAATAGTAGGTATGCATAGGTTAGTTAACATTCCGTATACTTTTATTCCAGCTGTTGCTGACAGGAAATGAAAAAAGTAATTCAAAGAAACTTTTGCCATTTTCCATCCTAATATCTTCTTGCTACTGAATTTTATTATAAGTTTAAAACTGTTTAAATTGCAGCGATTACATCTAATTTATTGCTTTCGAACAATTTTGTATTAATTTTAATGCCCTAATTCTATAGAATTAAATGAATCAATATTACATTTAGATGTATATGCATGTATCTATAATTTGGTGCAATAAATTAAAGCTTTTCGAGTATTTATAGGCATTCGTTCATTATTTTGATTGTTCAAAGGCAACTAAAAGAGCTTGTCAATAAGTCTGTTTATTATTCTATGAACTGTAGATTCCAAGATGTTGATACTTCGGGTTTTGGCAAAGGATTCTTAAGTACGTTTGTGAATCCACCAGAATTTGCATTGTAATCGTACCCGATCATGTTACATGTATAAGCTTTGACAAGTCTAGAAACCCTCCCAAGAGCTAGATACTTATGTTCCATTGATTTAATTGCGTATTGAGTATTATACTGGAGTATACCTAGTTGTTTTGGTAGATTTTTTTTTGTAAATATTCATGTTGGTTATTTCTGAAGAGACTCGATTCTTCCTCTTTATTACATTTTTACATGGTTAAACATAACCACATTAGATGCATGTTATTTAGGATACTAATATAGTATTTTTTCTGTTTTCCTTTTCTATATTTTTTTACAAGCAGGACCTACTGAAACAAATAGATTTTGAAATACTGGAACTTTATTCCCTTTTACTTATCAGTTTTGATATAAATTTGGCTAATTCTCGAATTAATTTTGAAATTAATATTATATATCCAACATCGCATATTCGTATATTCATATTTAACTTCTCCAAACTCAAAATCAACATTTCTCCGTTTCCATATGCGAAATCTTTTTGCTTTATTGGCCTTAATAAAACCGTCTGGAATATGGAATTCACTAAAAGAATTCGTTATTATTTTATTTCGGTGAGTTTTATTTACTCGTTTCATTTAATATTCCGAAACTCATTTCTAAAAGAATTATTACGGAATCTGTGACACATAACTGCGTCGTCTACAAATTGGAAATTGTGTGGTTTGACACTTGATTGAACAGATTTTCCGTTATTGAAAATTCAGAGAGTTAGGGCCAGTGTGCGACTATAATAATGACATATTGTTTTTCTGTGATTAATGAAGTTGTTCTGATACTAAATGTAAGAATTATATAAGATTTTTATATTTCTTATGAAGTTTATTGTATTAATATTTGGAGTGAGGGTAGCCATATGTGAGTAGTAGGGATTAAGTGTAAGGGTTAAAGAAAGGTCCTTTATTTCTCACAAGTCAATTTAATTGGCGACCGGTTTCGAAGTTGTCACTTCATCATCAGGCACACCTTGACTAATTCCATAAAGGAAGCGCTACAAAAAGTTAAACTTGTTGTATTAATATTCTACTGGCTAATGAAGAATAATCTTTATTTTTTAATTGCTAGAGTACACATATTAATATTCAAATTCAAAAAAGTTAATAACTCACTGGGGAAGGAAATGCTCTTTGTCCATTGCAATAATTAATTACAGTATTATTAAAGGGGAACTGATATAATCGTCAGGAATTTTAATTGCGTTTGATGTTATTTTACTCTATACAAGTGATTCTTTTTTTTATTAATTCTACAGTGATGCAAAGAAAGTTTTTCGCCTCTGTGGAGTTGTTCTTAACCCCCTTAAAATAGGTCTAACTAGATCCCAAATTACAGACAGATTAGCAGATTGGCATACAGAACAAAAACGAAATCAAACATGTTTTTAAAACATAAAAATACCTGAAGAAAAGTGGTATCTGAAAACAGTATAATAAATTTCATGTTTTAACATGATTTTTTGTACATTACTTTTTATTCACACAAAAATAACAAGTAAATTACTTTATGATACATCGAGGGAAACATTTTTTCGTAAAAATTCTGTATTCCATATATTTAATTATTTTTATTTATAATAAAATATATAAATGAATTTTTACAGACTGTATATCAACTTCTAACGATATAGAAAGTGTGAGGATGTATAAGGATGTAAGAGACAGTATAAAGGATGTATAAATGAAAGATAAGGATTATGTGGAAGTGTGAAAAATGTTTAAAGCTTTACAAGGAAGTATGGAGGATGTTTAAAGATTTATAAGGAACTATGATGCTTTATAAGGATTTATTTCTAGCAAAAGGATGTAGGTGTACAAAATTTAGGATAGTAGTTTGCCCTTCATTAGGAACACACTGTATATTGTCCAAATTAAACAATTCAATAAAAAATATTTCTGGAACGGCTTACCTAAGACCCGAAACCTTTAATCAAACAAATTCACTAACGTGTAATTCCCGACCGAAAAGTTCCGGGCTCGCCGAATTCGAATTTCGATTTTGGCGGGCAGCGCGTCGTCTGGAAACCGGGGGAATTTGAAAACCAGCGTCGAGGGATCGCGACGAGTAGAAGGAGCACCGGTTACTGACGTCTGGCGTCGTTTTTCGACGCTCGACGTCGCATGATGGTCTCTAGACGTTGCACGACGCGTCGTTTGGAACGTGCCGCGGATAAGGGAGGAAGAAAACGAAAAGGAAAACAGAAATTTTGATATTGAAAGTATTTACAGGGTCTACCCTTGAGGTACCCCCTTTCTAACAAAAAAAATTAAGAGTTTGATGATTTTCTCAGTGACTCCTTTATTAGATCTTGACTAAATTTATGTGGGACTACCCCTGAGGTACCCTCTTTCTAACAAAAAAGAATCATAGAAATCGGACAACGTATGTAGCAAAGAATTATCACTGAACATACATATAAAAAATATATTCCGACAAATTGAGAACCTCCTCCTTTTTTGAAATCTTTAAAAAAAATAGAACCGTATATACGAAATCATAACATAATATAATAATCTATGTACAATTTATTACACATAAAATATATATTTATTACATTATGTCCATAAATTATCACACATTGACGTTTCTCCGTGAACAGTGGTCAATATTTCGCAGATATATTTCTTTTGGCATGTTTCGTCACATTTAGCTTGACTTGACTTGCTGTTTCTATAGTAAAATCTAAAAAAAAAACACATATAATAAAAACTACATTTAGAGAGAACTAAATATAGCAGTGGCGACTTCTTTATGAAGACTGTATGGCTGTAACCCCCAGTATAGTACCTTTTTTAATAAAAAAAAATGTATTCCACGTCACCCTATTTATAACTTTCATAGGGCTCCTTTTGTTTAGGTTGTTTCATTTATAATCTTAAGACACACTGTCCCTGGCGTTCATTACATTATTCGCTACTCGTGATCTATTGATCGACTATTCTATCAACGCACAGCCAAAACTACTAAATCTAGAAAGCTGAAATTTGGAACATAGGTTTATTTTATAAAGTGAGCATCCGCTAAAAAAGAATTTTTGGAAAAATTTTAAATTCATAGGGGGGGGGGATGGAGAAGAGAAACTTTGTATGAAAATATTTGTTATTTTTGGCAACATGAAAATTTGAATTGCAGCTACTCATTATAAATAAATAACAACTTTTGGGTTTTTGAATTTTTACATTTCAAAACGAATGTGAAAGTTTTTAGGGGAGTATTGGTATTTTTAAAAAAAGAAACTTGAAAATTACAATTGTAGCTACCTAGGTACTTATCATTAATGAATTATTTCTACTTCTTTCTTATTTTTTTTTTTTAATTCAAAGGTAATAACCCACCCCACCCCCCGTAGACTAGACCACAAGCCGCCACTGAAATATTGAAAAAATGTATACAAACTTTGATATGATGATACTATTCAGAACTTACTTGTGATACAGATCGATTAATGTGTAGTCCTTCTTTTTGATGCCGTCAGCCATTCTTTTAATCAATGCATCCAACTCGCTTGGTACCAATTTTGAAACGCCAAACTCATTTGCAAACGAGTACAATTTTTCCCATTTTATCGTCTCGATTTTGTCATTATTCGCTTTTTCTAAGTCGAACGAGTAGACCTCTGCGTCCATGATGTCCTTAAAACAATTAAAATTCATCAAAATTATATATGTATACAGTATACATAAATTATTCGCATGGTCGTGCCGAATTGTGCCGAGTCTTGCCGGGTCGTGCTGGATCATATCAAGTTTCTTTTTTATTGGAATACTTACGTATCCTGTCGAATCTACTGTGTAGATTTTGAAGTTGGGATTCGCTTTATCGGGCATCACAGAAGCACCGTTGATAACCATGTTATTCGCAACACTTTTGCTGTCATAATAAATGGAAAAGTGATCTTTGTGAGTGTGACCGTTGAATTGGGCAGCGATCGTGTTAGAAAACCTTAACAAACATATAAATAAATAATAATTTAATGCAATAAGTTAATGCAAGCGCTCGTTTATTTGGAGCATACCTTTCAATAATTTTGTTGTACTCCCTGCTCCATACCTTCATGCATGAACTACTTGGGATATGCGACAAAATATGCACTATTTCCTTATTGTTTTCGGCCTTTTCTAAAGTTTGGACCAGCCATTTTAATTGACCGTAAGGATCTTCGCTATCGTACAAATTCCACCTAAAAAATACCATGAAACAAAATCAATCTGGCCAAGTGGCAAAAAATACATCACGAATGAATGAAATTGGATTTTAAATGTTTCTGTCTCACCAGTTTTCTTTGTGAGCCGCATTGTTGTTCAACACGATGACTCTAAGTCCCTTTTTCAATAAAATAGAATAAAATCCTCCCTGTTTAATAGTTTCTTTAGCTTCTTCGTCTAACCATTTTGACCATTTATCGAAGACTGTTTCGAACAGCCATTTTTGATTTATACTGTCGTCTGTTATATTTAGCGGAGCGTATCTAAAATAGATTAATTAATTGGCTCTAGATCTTATAGGTTAGGTACATTAGATTTCTTTGATTTAAAACAAAAAAAAAACAATAAAAGCCCTTTTGCTGACATTCAGCAGAAGCTACTAAAACACAACTTCTAAAACCTAGAAAATTAGGTTACTCTATGAAAATTTTAATGTATGTACAGTTACTTACAAATTGACAGGGTGGGTTTCATGATTCCCCAAAATGGGAATTACAGGTTTTTTGAATTTTTTAGCAAACAAATCCATGGCTTCTGTTATCGTTTTTTTATTATATTCCTGGCTAGTTTTCCATACTGTGTGAGCCACCAGGTCACCAGTAAAATACACGTAATCGTAATCCTTAAAAATGCCAATTAAACAATAAATACCGAAAATTAATAAATTATTTAATATTAAAGACTGTTATTTAGTGAATTCCTCTTAGTTTTAAATTGAATACAATGACAGTTCTTGATAAAAAATTAGAATTTTGGAGTTGAATATGTGGATCTTTTCGAAATATGTCAATTTTTAACTAGCGCTTGAGCCCGAACAGTTTGTAGTGAAATTTGTAGAATATTTTATGTACTATCATTTTTAATAAGATGATTATTTACGAAAAATTGATAATTTTTTGAGTTCTACGCTAAAAACTTAATAAAAATGAGATTTCTTACATTTTTTTGCATTTTTTCAATATTTCGCTACAAAATCTCAAAAAATATATAAAATAGAAAAATCAAAATTACCCGACAATTTTCTGCTACTTGACTGGATTATAAAAGTTTTCGTGAGTTAACGTGAGCAATATTTACGTTTTTACCTGTTCGTTTATGCCATCTATGGCTGCATTGAGCAATCTCAGGGGCGAATCGGCATCCTTAAAGGAACTCCAACGACCGCAGGCTGTTTGGTCGGCAGTGGCGTCCGGTTGATCGGGTTGACAGCACAGCGGCTCGCCGCATTTAAGAACTTTTCCCTCCGTGTAATTGGGATCATAGTGGATGTCGGTTATGTGAGCTATCTTGAAAGTTTTCTCACCAGTAGACTAAAAATTTTAAACTTATAATTCCCGAAGATATATTGAGATGCTCCTAGAGACCGAAGCGTTACTCATTATACCCTCCCTGTATATTGAAGAGTAATAAAAACAATTACCTCGACTTTATCCACTGTTTTTCCCTTTAAATCACCTATTGTCCATTCAAAATACTTGCTACCAACATCGCAATCTAATAACTGGCTGCAAATCTGTGTGCTACCTACCGTATCCTTCGTGTTGTCCATTATATACAGCACAGCATCCTTCAAAATCAAAAAACATAATATATTAATTTATTTATACTATCTACAATCTCGACAATATATAGCGATGCAAATCATTAAATGTATTAAATTATTTTATATTACAATATTTAAGATGAAAACATTGAAAATTATTCTAAATGTTTCCTTGTAGTGTAGTCACGTAGGTAGGGGAGATCAAGGGGATCAATTCTCTCTCGCCATATATATCATATATATGAAATTTTCGAAATCATATCGCAAAGTCTGACGTTACCACAAATTGTGACCTCAGTTTAACACAGAGCTTGTGGCCATTAATCATGGCATTGTCTCTCAGAAATGCCAAGAGAAGATAAATTGTTCATCAAAATATTGTGTCAAACGTTTTTTTAGAATCAGTATGGACTGTGTTCGTTTCAAGAGTTTGTCTATATACTATACTCACCGCATTCACATCAATAATTCCTTCACACACTCTATCATCTTCAATTCCCAGAAAAGAGGAGCAGAAATATTGCAACTGAGCCTCTATTTGTACTTTGGTCATGTCGAAGCCTCTCTCTGTCAGTATCACTGACATAGCGACGTCACAAATGGCGCATAGTGCGAATTCGCTTAAGTCGTTTTTATTTGAAAAAAATGGAAAAGGGAGAGACCGCTTTTTTTCAAGCATTTTTTCGAAAACTCTTTTCCATCCTGAGGGTTGGTATGAGAATGGAAGATTTTCTAAAAATAATTATTGTAATTGATATAAATAATTATATTATTGGTACAAATTTAGGCAACAAACAAAATCATTCATAATATATTTATTTCGTAAAATATATATAAAAAAAAATTGTGTGACATATTATTTTATCTATAAGATAAAAATAAATTATTTAAATTGGTTGATCAGACCAAGCTTTAATTATAATTTATACTTTGATAAAAAAAAATATAAATCAATTGGATTCTGTTTAAGTAAAACACTTTGAAGAAAAATAAGGAAGGAAAAGAATGATTTGATTAACATTTTTCATTTTGGTCTTCTATTCCAGGCTACACAGCCTAGTAAGAAGCTCTTCTGTATAGCAGTTAAAACAGTACATATACTCTACTGCAGTTTACTCTTCTACAGTTTACTCTTCTACCTGATACCACAGTCTCTTTTGCCCCGCTACAATTCCTTAAACCCATCAATTCCGCGAGATTATTGAAATGTGACTGAATATCTTACCATCGGCTACTTCTGAATACACTGAACAGCTTACGTTGTAGAAGAATAACAATAGAAACCCAAAACACGGAAAAAACTTCATTTTTTCATAAAATCTCGTTTACTACTATTTCTTATTAAGTACTAAAATTGAAATAAAAAAAATCTAAAGTGCTAGAATTAGATAAGATTCATTTTTCTCAAGTGTAAAAATAATATAAATCAATCATATTATTGTAAAAATTAATTATCAAATCAAAAGTAAATAAATCATACTCGAGATATTTTTGATAATATGAAAAATGTATATTGGATTAGTTAAATTTGAAAACAAGATATTGCACAAAAATATTTAAATTTCGTAGGTATTATCAAACTGTTTTATCAAATTTATTGGATAACCCTCGTAGGTATTGACCGGCGTTAAGTATTTAGTAGACCTTTTTTTTGTTCAATATTCGATAAACTTGTTAAACATGAATTCTTGGTGTTACTATAATATAAAATATAATAAAAATTTAATTCACTATAGAAAAACTTAAGTATTACAATCTCAGCTAGTACATAAACATCCCATCTACTTTAATAAGCTCTTTATACAACTATAACATCCATGAAACCTCCAAATATCCGCAACTGGATGAGTTTTAAAGCACCTCTCATAGAGGTTGCAAAAAGAAGTTCAGAAAACATCACACATCTCCCGAAAGTTTTTCAGAAAAGTTTTCTAGATGTTATATTGGGTGCTATGATTGAACGTTTACGTTATCCGTAACGTACATGTTAGGCCGAGTTTTAACAGTAATGAAGCAAGTTCGTATGATGGAAAACTTTTTCCAACACGTTACTGTTATTTTCCGCCTGTTATGTTCTAATTTAACAGTTTTCCATCGTACAAACTTGCTTCGTTACTGTTAAAATTCGACCTAACATGTACGTTATGGATAACATAAACGTTCAATCATAGGACCCAATGTAAGTTAGTTTTACAGCCTTATACAGTATGTCCACGGATGGACTTAATTATACAGGGCCTAGAGGTATGCAAGTTGTGCAAGCACATAGACGGGTAAACTTAGGGCAAAAACAGTTAATTACATTTTATAAAAATATGTAGCATAACTAAATTTCATAGTTAATGTATTTCACAGAAGCTAGGCTCAAAAGTTTAAAACCTATATAATATTCACATTGCAGACAATTTGTTTTTCATGCTGCAATATAATAATAGTTTCCAGTTTTTTTTTTATACAGCAATCTGCAACTTTATTAATTCTTATATATAACGCATAGCTTTTGTTGTTTATATGCCTTGTTTTTTCGTTTTTGTTTACTTTAATATTTCTTATTAGTTGTTAAATAGCATATTAGTAAGTATTTAATAAAATATTTTTTAAATATAGAAGCGCATAAAGGCGACTTATGGGCTAAGAACGGCCCTGTAACTATACTTGTAAAATGAACAACAGATACATAGGCAACACATTTTACTCCCGCATTCATTTTAAACTCTTTTTAATGTGAAATTCTTAACTTTATATTTACAATTAGTTCTTAGAGGAATCCAAATGTGTTAATTATGTTATTAAGCAATAAAACTAATTAATTATTCAGTTATAATTGTTATATTTTCAGAAATTGTTACTTTAGGATCGATGAGCTGACAAACCCAATAGTATAAATTTGAAGGGTAAAAAAATAAAAGAAGAATTAATGTCAAAATAAACTTTCGTTCCAAACTTCAAACAGTTCAAACTTGTAAATTTATGAAATCAAAATCTTGTTTAAATAAAACATTACAAATACGAAGGTTTTAATGATAAAAACTTGTTTTTTAAATAAAATGTGTATTAGAAACATATCAGAGTGCATACAATCGCATAATAAAAGGTTATCTTCGATAAATAAAGCAACAGAAATTACATTTTCAAAAGTTGTAGTTAATAGTTTTAGAAAGGCTAATTAATATATCTACACGAAAATGGATCATTTGGAGAATAGAAAATTTAAAAAGTACTTAATTTATTTAATTATTGTATCTTGTGTACTTATTACGTGGAAAGTTTTGTCCAGTGATTCAGGTAAGTGACAAATACTTTACACATAACCTTGTAATTCAGTGTTATTAATCATCAAAGTCCATTTATTGTTCATATATAGCTTTAACATGAAGGTAATGAAGACTGCGTGCATTTAATTTAAAATTACCACCAAAATGTATATTTCATTAACAAAAACTGAGAATACAAGGTGTTTTAGCTGCATTAACTGACTTAGTGGGCTTTGGGGGTCAGAACCCCCCTTGGAGGGTTCTCGAGTCACCATTTCTGCTATAGTATTGGCGCTGATCGCTATTGACTGTTTATAAACACCCCTTCCATGAAAAATGGCTACCTACGCCAATGGATACAGAATAAGTACCCACAGCCATGCCCTAACAGTAACCCTTTCTGGTAGCTTTATCTATTTTTTTTTGCTTAGTTGGATTTCAAATCCTTAATTTGTTTAGTGGATGTTACCAAAGATGTACTAAACCCTTTCTGATTTCGCGAAAAAAAAATATTGTTACTGTGTTATTATAGATAATTTATTATTTTTATTTAAGACATAATACAAATTTCATAATTGCATGCTTTAGTTCGACCTTTTTCAATTAAGTAACACCCCATTCATTTATCTAATAACTTTAATTATTATTCCTCAATAATATTTATTTTCTTGGCTGGTAATAACTATTTTATTAATATATTTTGTATCTGTAAGGTGGGAGCAGGACCATTGTGCATCCTTATCAATTTAGTGACAGAATATTTCGTTGAAGAAGTAATAATGTTTAATTAGTTTAAAACATTTAATTTCAAATTAAAATTTCAAAAATAGAAATATTTTTTTGATAAAATTTGCTTTTATTTGAATGAATTTAAATAAACTGACAAAAATGGTACAGGCACGTTAAAATATAAGTAGAATGATTGGGAGACTAATTCACTTTATCAAACTACCTAAATGTCTGATAACCCTGAGGTTAAATTAAACTATATGACTTTTAAAATATCTTTTACACCTAAAAATAAATTACTGTATACTCGAAACTTTTTTATAGGTATTCAAATCATCCAAACATGGCTGGTATCTACCAAACATTCTAAATTGTAGATGCCTATGATGACTTAATTTTCTGTTAAGTTATGTTATAAAAATGACATTACATTTTAATACAATTTGATTAATATAATCTTTAGATTTTATTTAATGTTGATATATTGAAGTAAATAAATAAAATCTTTTAAACTTAAAGCAAATGATTTCAATGAAGAGTATTTTTTTAATAATACCATAAAATGCAACAAATCTTCAGTCTCAGACATATACCTACAATAGTAATATAAATAAGTGGAAAATGTATCGATTAACAAAATTACTTCTAGATCATTTTGTATAGCTGCTACCTTGATGGTTTTAAAGATTTAATGATATAAGTATATTAAATTTCAAGGTGAAAAAATATGTTTATATTCAGCCACATTTTTACTGGTCTTTCTTCTTTCTAATAACAGAAACAAACAAATATTACAAAAACTAATAAATTAAGAATATTTTTGAGATGCAGTAAGTAAATCTATATGTGTTGACATTTTGGTATGTTTGTGGAAAAAAATTGCAGTTTTTATGTTTCTATTAGCAAAGGGATTATCTAATCAAGAGGAATTTTATAAATATTTAAGTAAATTAATTAATGTATTTATAACTTTTTGTTTATCTGATCACGCCAATGAGAGCTACATAGTGGTTTGGAAATTATTTTAGAAATTGATAGTTAGGTATAGGTTTGTTTTTTTTATTTATACCTGATTTCAAGAAAACATTGCCTAATAATTAACAACAGTCATCATTTTAAGTAATATAATCATTTTACCTAACTTAATATAAGTTGTTGTAGTTAATTATTGCATTATAACCGTTAAATAATAATAATGTGAATGGGTTAATTTAAAAATATTTTAAGTCATATAGGGATATAATTATGTAAACAGTTTTTTAAGAATATAAAGCTGAAAATAGCAAAATTGGTAATTCTATTATTGAGAATACAATCTGCCATTCTGGTCCCATGCACTCACTTACTATAATTAGGGTAAACTAACCTGAAAACTAGGATAACTCTTAAAGCAAGGTATCAGGAAAATATAAACAGGCGCATTTGAGATGAAAAAACATTCTTTTTCAATTTTGACTACCTTGTTAAAGACAAATATAAGCTAAAGTGCTTTTCGACATTATTTTTATTATTTAAACATTTTCTTTTAATGATAGTTCCTCATTATTTGATTATTGTAAATATTAATCAATCAACTTTAGCTTTAACTGTGACTGTAATCATAAATGTTGAAAGATAAAAAGTTGAAAAGTTTTTTGAATATTTTTTTATGGAATATTTATTAACTTTTCATTTTTTAATTTCTTTGTTTCAGAAGAAGCATACATAAGTGAAGTGAAGGAATGTCTCAAACTATTTCAATACAAGTTACAATTGACACCTTTGCAAAATATGTTATTAAAAAAACTAGATGATATTCCAATTATTTATGTTATTACTCCAACTTATTATAGGTAATTTAATTAATTTGTTATGATTAAATGATAAAGATAATTAGTGGAGGCATTTGCTGAAATAATATTAAACTACTCCCACATATTCATTTATATTTTAGATATTAGGTTGAGTAGCATCTTGATGCAATATACAATCTCTATTTAAAATATAGAAAAAGTTATTTTATAAAATTCTTCATATTAATGGCGCTCGTTAGGCCCTTATGTTAAGTTTATATACTTTGGCCAAAACACTATAAAATTGGCAGCACTTTTGTTTGAATCTTTACACATTATTTTCACACCTGCCTCCTCCACAAAAAAATTGATGAGTCGCCACTGAAGATGACGTAATTTTGGTTCCACAATTACAGTAGACTTGTTTATTACTAAAATGGAAATAAAGATCAAAATAAGTTTATTAATAAAATGTATCATATAGTGTTGACCTACATGGCCTTCTTCAAGCATACAAATTAAATATAGTAAATCCTAGAATCCAAATCCATGAGTTAATATAGTAAGTAGTTGCCCTTTATACTGCATACTAAAAAATATCACTGAAATATATCAAGCTGTTTCGAAAAATTAATTTTCTTTTAGCAATCTGTATTTTTGGATCATAGTTTATAAAGCAACCTATCATTAATTTTTCAAGTACATTCGTACCGTCAAATATTCACATATTGTTAAGGAATACTATGTACAATCTGCTTCTTTTACAGTAAAAAATTAAACATATTACATTTTTTGATAGTTTCTATAAGTAAAAAGTTTCTAAGTATTAAAATAACAGCAAAACTGTATATATGTCAAATTTTTGTTAGAAGTTTGGTTAAAATTTAACTGTCAGTTGAACCAAAATTACGTCGCACTAATACAGCGTAATCTCAACAATATTCCACGTCACTTAAAGGTACGTTCAGAAGGCTGAATTGACTAGAATATCGCAAACTTTGATGTTAGTTCCTAACGCCCATTGGGTGGTTATAGAAGACTCCGAAGAAAGAACCAAACTAGTTAGTAACTTAATCAGCGATTCCGGTTTGAAGACGACTCATTTGGTAGCTAAGACTCCGCCATTCGAAAAATTGAAGGCGAAAGTAAGTACATTTAATTTTGGAAATAATTTTCCAAGTAAAGATTTGGCTGATTGCAATTACTCAATAGTTTCTGGTTTATCAAGAAAGGCTGCAAGATCAGAACATTTCAAATCAAAGTTTGTAGTTTTTAAGAATTAAAATTATTAAAAAAAAAAAACTATTGACACTAAAATATTATTCACTTCTTCAATATTTTACGTATAATACTAATAAATTTTGAACTCATCAGTTTTGTTATTATATCATTTATAAACCTTTACAAACGATACAGGGCCAAGAATGAACCCCTGTGGTACATTTGATTTTGATAAGTTTAGGATTATAAATACAATGGATGTGAATGATGGTGTCTCATTGTATACTTTTAGGATCCCAGATGGAAGAGACACAGAGGCGTTGAACAACGAAACAAAGCTTTGTCTTGGTTGAGGGATAATCTACAACTGGGAAAAGATAAGGGTTTTGTTTATTTTATGGATGATGATAATGCTTATAATGTTAAGTTATTTTCCGAGGTAATTGTAGACTTATAAAATGTAGGATGGAAAATGATTTAATCTAAGGTTAATTTTTAGATTATGAAAATAAAAAAAGTGGGTGTTTGGCCTGTCGGTTTGGTTGGGGGTTTTAATGTCGAAACGCCCGTTTTAGATCCTGGTACAGGTAAGGAAAATGTAAAACTGTAAAGATTTATTTGTAGTGTATTAACCCAGAAGTTATTTTTCTTATCTTCTTAGCTTTTTTAATTTTTCTTTGGTTTGTTTTTACTTTGAGGTTGCGGTGATGGATTCCTTTATTTTTTTAACCATAGAAATGTTGAATTTTTTCTTGCAGGTAAGGTGAACGGGTATAAAAGCGGCTGGAAGCCCAACCGTCCCTTCGCCATAGACATGGCGGGATTCGCGATCAATTTAGATTTGATACTAGAGAACGCCAAAGCCAATTTTTCATACAAAATGGAAAAAGGTTTCCAGGAAAGTCAATTTTTGAGCTACTTCACCACCAAGGAAAATTTAGAACCGCTTGCCGATAATTGCACCAAAGTGTACGTGTGGCATACCAGGACAGAGAAACCCGTAGTTAAAAGCGAAGTTTCGGGTTACGAAGTTTAAATTATTTTCTCACGAGAGCGGAAGTTTGTGGAACGAGTCGTCAGCTATTTACGTATTCAGCATCAGTACATCGGTGTAATATTTTTTCAATGATGCTGTATACGTGATTATTGGATGTCTAGGTGAATCGAGACGAAGTCGTATTATACAAGGAGCACTCCCAAACACAAATATTTCTTTTTGAAATGTAATAAAATGAATCTTTAAACCATTTTTTCCAATCTGAGCACGGTACCTCCAAAAATAGTCTATTACACTTCAAATATCCGCCCCTTAATGGTTCTATTTGCCAATGGGGGACTCTGAAACTTTACTAAGCAAGTCAACATCACCTATCGCTTCATGTATCCACCGTCATATATAATATAGTTGGATGTTGCCATGTCAATTCATTTAGACACTATTAAGTGCTATCGGGGGGTATATGGCAATGGATAATACGATAAGTTGCGTATAACTTCGTTATTATTGGTGCAATTCAAATGAGGTAAATGTTTTGATGTTTCTGACTTGCAAGAGAAGTAACTTGTACATTTTTGTTGTCACTGTTATTACAAATCTTTGGTTGGCATCCCTGTTAGCAAATTGAGTTTTACAATAATTTCTTTGGCATGTATTAGGTTTATATGATGCAGATAGTTTTAGGCTAGGATTTTTATATTGAAAGATACAGTGCGAAGATAAATATAATAATATATAATTCGGTTTAAAATGGAATTGTCAACTGAATTATAGATTATAAACGCAAAAATGTATGCAGTACACTACCTTTAGCCGTGCGGTTCATCCCGTTAGGCAACTGGTCAAGGCACTAGACCGCAAATTTAGTTATGATTGGTTCGACTCCAGTTCTGAACATATGAACTTTTGTCAATTTTTCATTAATTTGTAGTGATAAATGTAATAATTTCAGCTATTATTATTAGAACGTTACTAGACTATACATACTTTTTTCTAGTGTATCCCTAGTAGTATTAAATGAAGACGAAGAAAATGTATTAATTCCATAATCGAACGAAAATTCCGATAATTACGAAATAAGAATAGCTTTAAGTTTTACTCCAAATGCGTGTTATATTAAATTGTTATTAATCTATCAATGCATCTTAGCTTAGTAATTTATAGATTTTATTTGATAATTAATTTAATTTGCAGCTCACAACGAAAAATGTACATTAAAGATTAATGTACATCTGAGATATTTATAGGGTTTATTTTGCTTCAATAACTTTAAGATTTTTAGTTTTTAAACCAAGAATAGCTCAATTAATTTTATTACGAATATTATTATTACGAAATAAATTTAAGAATAATGTTTTGCTGCTAATAAAATATAATTACGACATTTAAATTAATGGATTATAAAATGTATATTAAACGAAAAGGATTATAGATATTTTATTACACATTCAAAATTGTGATATTTTTGACGTACTTCTAATATTTTACTGAAAAGGTCGTTATTGTACGGGGTTTAAGTCTGAACTTTTTTAGTTAGTATTTAGAAACTATCAGATTTGCCCATATAGCATAAAAATTCAATCAAAAAATAACAAAACTATTTTAAATGTTAAACTTTCCTATTTTTATATGGTGACAATAATTGGTGTTTTTTATAATGTACCACTTTGATGAATGGCTGATAATTTACTGCGTGAAGTTAGACATTTTTTGTAAATAAGTGGTATATTTATATATTTAGTTTTAAAAGAATCACGCAAATCAACGATGATCATGTTTATTTATTTTGTTAGGAATCTTGCATTTATTTAAATTAAAATAAAATCTTGAATAAACAATTTTTTTATTACCTTCTTATTTTGTTGAAAGTAAAATATCTGGCTCGAGAAGATCGACTGATAAAAGGCGAAAAAAAGTAAGTTTCAAGTTTAGAAAACGATTTACATCGAGGGTTTCTAGTAAAGATTGTCCCAAATATTTTTAGATTTTGTTATGTAAAAGGATTACTATTTTTTTTAGGTTTAGCTAACGTACACAAAAATAGTAACCTTATCTAAAAATATTTCTTAACCACATTTGAATTACTCTCCTAAAAAATCATGGGAATTTTAAATTTAAACAAATATATATTAAATGAGAAATATGAAAAAAATGTTTTACATAAAATTATATTATTTAATTTTTGTATATTTCTAAAAGTCAACACCTCCTAACGTAATAAATAATAGTTCTGTACCCTAACTTCACCTAAACCACGTACATTATGTAACGCACACATTTATATAACTTTCATGCAACATAGATTTGATTTAAAGGTGCTGATGGGGTTAAAAATGACTATATTGCCGTTTTTATTCACTCATTACTTTTGTAGTCACCCTAAATACTGTTGGAAAAAGGTCGCGAAATATTTAAATTAACTGTTGTTCCTTTTCTGTTTTCAATTGTGTTAAAAACGTTTTTGTAAATCTAACGTAGAAGATAAAGTAAATAATTTTCAATAGAGCCAAATAATTAGAAAGTCTTTTAGTTTTTTTTGTTTTATTACAGTTTATTTGCCTCACATTAAAAGTATTTTATTTTCCCTGTATACCAGCTGTATTTTATGAAATTTAATGTTTGATTATGCATTCCCAAGTAATGTAGAACATTTTATTAACAATAACTGTTTTTATAAACAACTTTTTCCTGTGTGTATAATCTCTTTTGGAACACACTGTATAATAGATTAACAATATCTAAATACACTTTGTTGTTAACGACGTGCTCGAAGAGCACGTCACAATCTATTATACAGTGTATTCCAAATAGTTCTGTTTTTTCACAACAAAACTTTTTCCTGTATGTATAATGTTTTTTGGAACACACTGTATAATAGATTGCGACGTGCTCTTCGAGCACGTCGTTAATAACAATATCTAAATACAATACAATTTGTTGTTAACGACGTGCTCGAAGAGCACGTCGCAATTTATTATACAGTGTATTCCAAATAGTTCTGTTTTTTCACAACAAAACTTTTTCCTGTATGTATAATCTTTTTTGGAACACACTGTATAATAGATTGCGACGTGCTCTTCGAGCACGTCGTTAATAACAATATCTAAATACAATACAATTTGTTGTTAACGACGTGCTCGAAGAGCACGTCGCAATTTATTATACAGTGTATTCCAAATAGTTCTGTTTTTTCACAACAAAACTTTTTCCTGTATGTATAATCTTTTTTGGAACACACTGTATAATAGATTGCGACGTGCTCTTCGAGCACGTCGTTAACAATACAATACACTTTGTTGTTAACGACGTGCTCGAAAAGCACGTCGCAATCTATTATACAGTGTATTCCAAAAAGTTTTATGTTTATAAACATGCTGCATTTTATAATTCTGGATGACGAAGTGATTTGGGTCTTTATTTTCGGTAATCATTTCGGAAATTTCGACAAGGGTCCCGGGTTCGAATCCCACCGTTGGCCGGTATTTTTTCATTTAATTTATTTAAAATTAATTCTGATGCCTTGGTAGGATTCCCCACTCGACCATTCACTGTTGGGTTCTAATTAACAGTACTGTTCCTAAAGTGGCGCTGGGAAACAGTAACAAAGCCTACACAGAACACGAGGCGAAATAACCCTGGTAGTTGAAGCCGATGACACACAAAAAAAAACATTTGTATGGCCTTAGTGATTTCGAGCGAAAACGTGCCAGTATTTCGGAAATGGTTGACCCCTTGAGAAACTCATCTCACCTATGCTGAAATGACGCAGCGGTGAGCCAAGCATACCCATATTAACCTCTCACCTGACGTCGACATATTATTAAAAAAAACCTTGGTATTGACAGTTAAGTTAAAATATTTGGTATATTCAAAGACGAGCTAAAACGCCTGAGAGAATCAAAAGTTTATTTTTATGTATAGACAATTGTATACATGGACATCACTTGCTATTTTTCAAACATCTAAAACTTCGTTTTTTCAAATTAAACACCCAGTATATCATTTCACTATGTATTATTATAATATAGACCATAAAAGTAATAGATTTTAACAAAAGTTTATTTATAATTGAAAAATAATAGAAATAAAACATTGAACTACCACGTATTAATGAACCGACCTATATATTTGAGAATGATACACTTGAACTTTCTAAAAAATTGGTTAGAACACGTTTTTCTTTTAAAAAATTTTTTTTTAATTACTATTAAGTGTGCCTAGAAGAATTTTTACATGGATTTACGAATAGTTCATTTGAACTACTTCATACCTTTAGATGTTTCTATTATTATCGTGAAAACGTTTCTTGTGAATATTCAGTGTGGATACATAAACACCCTTTTACGAAGGGAATATTTCGTGGGATTAAAAGCAAAAGCCATCAAGTCAAAAGAGCAATTTAAAGTTTCAATGAAGTTGTAATTTTTTTATAAATTATTTAGCTATTATCAAAATGCATTGTTTTTACATGATATACACAAATGCAAATGGTTGATAAACTGCTCCAAGCAGATTTCTTATAAATATTTAGCTTTTCTACATGAATTTACGAATTGGACATCTGAATTATTTCATTTAAACTGGTTACAACACGTTTGCAAGTTCAAAAACTGCTTTGAAACCTCATCTGGTATATTTTGATGATCTTACAGCTGAAATGTTGCATGGTACATTTGAACTACTTCCTTTCATGCAACTTTTTTACTCTTATACGAAATAAAATCCCATTTTGAAAAATCAAATTAAGTATATTTTACACATTTATATACAAAAAAAACTTAAATCCTACATTATAAATTAATTGTTTTGCATTTACGCTGAATCCAACAGCTTATTCAATGAAGTTGGTATCCAAGTAGAGTTATTTTGCGAATAAAAAATGACGTTTCTATCAATGTAACACTGCATCCCGTTCGATCCGATCTTGTACACTTGCTTGGCTTCGTGATATTTGTTCGCCATCGGTACAAACAGGAGGCCTCTATCCTCGCACTTCTTCATCACGAGATCTTTGAAGCCTTGAGGGATCTTCGAGGCGGTCTTCATAGCTTCCGCGATAGTCTGCAAAAGAAACAAATCAATAATTGTCAATTACTGTGAAATTAGATAAAGAGATACAACTAAAACAGAAAATAGACTAACCTCGACTCTTGGTTGCGATGCTGGTGATGGGGTAATACCGTTTTCCTCTATGTTTTTCAGGTACGAAATTGATTCTTTAGCACCAGGTTGTTGGCCAATGTTGACGGCTCTGTTCATCATTTCGAGGGCTTTATGGAAATTTTCTAAAACAAATTGGAAGGAAATTGATAACAACCATGCCCCGGAATATTTTTGTACATAAATTTTGTTTAAAAAACGTATGTACCAACCTTTTATACTCGGTTGATTGAGTAATTCGTCAGAAACCATCCTCTTCCATCCCGAATACCATTCGGTAACTTGCGTGTAATTGGGATTGTGATTCAACCAGACGGCCAACGTTTGCAACCACCTCGGAAAGAAGAATTTATCCAAAATTAACGTCATGTTGCCGACGGATAGCATGTCGCTCCAATCCATCACCCAATGCCAGGCATCTAAATACATCGACCATTTGTTAGACTAATTACAACAATTTTCAGAATAGTTTTAAGTAACAAATTAAAATCATAATATTTCTTATTTTGTTGTTCTATCAAAAGAAAAGAGATACTTCAAATATTAAAAGAATGGTGCATTTAAACTAATATTATAAAACTTATTAGAAAGCATATAAAAGTTTACTCAGTAAAAATATCTTGAGAAATATTAAGTTATTGAGAATTATTATTTTAAGCGTTCTTTTTAAGAAGATCGAGCAAAACTTAGTAGAAACCATTTAAACGTTTCAAAAGAGAATTTTTTTGAAAAATATTAAGTATTTGATTTATTTTAATGATGATACATTAATTAGAACTAATCTCTTAAAACCGGAATAAATATCGTTAAAATTACAAAAAATACATGTGGCACTCGGGGACTGCCGCGATAAAGCTATTCCATATCATTTTTTATCAACTTATGCAATTATAATTATTTATTTATTTTATTTATGCAGTATTTTTTTTGTAACTGAAATAAGAAACATAAGTTTGAGACTTGATATCCTCTAAAAGAGATAGAATCAGTTATGAGCAGTTTGCAGCTAGTCTACACGCATACGTCTAGTCGCACGCACAAACACCGTGCCGAAGTCTGCCGAACTAAAACGACGTTAGACGATGCACGGCTTTCAACGCCGCACCGCTGTGCCGGTCGGAGTGGGGGTGTTAGGTTTATTTTCGTTACGGAATTTCTTTTTCGATTTTCTTTTATTGAATAAATGAGAAGTTAATATTGTTTAACGCCGCACCGCTGTGCCGGTCGGAGTGGGGCTGTCAGGTTTTTTTTTTCGTTACGGTTTCGTTTTTTTTTTTATTCGGACGCCGCGCTCAATGTCCCCGATAAAAGCTATGCAATAGCTTAAAAGGTACATTTGAACGACTCTAAAACTTTCTAATAAGCTTGCAAACGTTTCGAAAATTACTCTTGGTACATATCAAGGTAATATAAATAAATGTATCATGGATTTGACGAATGGTACATTTAAACTACTAGGATAAAACTTGGTAGAAAGCATTTAAATGGTTCAAAGATTGCTCTGAAATAATGTATTTGAGAAATATCAGGTATTTTGATTTCAAGAATGGCACATTTGAACTAATTTGTTTAAACCTGATCAAAAATCATTTAGACATATCAAAAATACTTTTAAAATCGTTCTTGTGAATAACTAATGTGTACGGTTACAATAATTACAAAGAATACATTAATATTAACACCTCCCTTAAAACTTGATAATAATCATCTCCAATAAAACTTAGTAGAAAACATTTAAACAGTTTAAAGTTTACCCTAAAAGAATTTATTTGAGAAATATCAAGTATTTGGTTTATTTTGAGAATGGTACAAATTGACTAATCTCTTAAAAACCCTTTAGGAATTATTTGGACGCATCAAAAATTACTTTCAAATCTGTTCTTGCCAATATTAAATGAGTAAAATTAAAATTCCAAAAGGTACATTTGAACTACACTCATTAGAACCCGCTTAGAAATCAGAAATAGAAAAAACGGGTATAAATTTAGATGATAGATGCAAGATATAAACCTAAAACAACTTTATTATCACAAATTTTGCTTTTTTTTTTTAATTATTTTAGCTACCGAAATTTACTGCTTTACCTAAATGTTGCTGATGAGGATTAATGGCCAACGATTGCATGCATATCTGCAGCTTGGGTACGATATGTTTCAAAAGAAAAGCGACGAACGCTCCTTGAGAAAGCGCCCTCTGCCACGGTTGCAGCATCAACTTCGCCGATCTGTCCGAGGGGTGCCAGTTCGTCAGAGCGTTCCCGAGTTTTTCTTGAATTACTGGGTAAACGGTGGCTTGCAGCTTCTCATCTACAAATATTAAACACAAATAAAGGAAACTTCTACAAGGATCAGTTCTGAGGCTTCTTCCCACTGCAATCTATTATCGGTTGCACTAATACCTACTAATACCTACTAATACCTAATAATGGTATCCAGGGGTGTATCCAGACGTGTATGGGTGTCGTGTCGGTTAGAGGGTTCCAATCGTTCACTTCTTTAATTATCTTGGGCATCAACAATTGGCTAATAATATTTTCTACGATCCAATCGGGCAATAGAGGTTTCCACGTTTCTATAGCGGTTATAAGCGGATCGCAATCGCGCGTATTCCACAAACTGTAAAACGAAACGAGGAGAGATATTTAATTTGAAGCGAAAAATAAGCAAAATGTTGATAATCGTGAATAAATTAGATATCCCAAAAAAAACTTGTAAATTTCAGTAAAAAATAATTTTTTGACGCGGATTTTTAAAGCATCCATACTACGGATACTTATATGGTAATTCTATGTACAGGGTTGGTGGAAAATAAAAAATTATTTGTACAAAGTATTCATATTGAATGTAATTTAAGCAATAATGTTGTAATTTGTTGTTTAATTATTTTTTATTAACAATATTATAAATAAATTTCCGTATAAATAGAAAAAAATAAAACTACAAGAAAAATTTACTATTCGCGACTTATAAGACATATTTAAATAAATATTAATCTCGCAACAGGAACAAAAACAATTCAAATTTAACTAAAAGAAAAAAATCGCCATTCCACTAGAAATTAAAACTAGAAACCTTGACTTACCTAACGCAAGTTCTCATAACAGGCATCCAAGTGTGCCAAATGAGACTATCGTATGGCTGTATTCCCATTTTATTACCTTCTAGAATCCCACGATGGCGTGGCGTCAATAATATGTCCTGCCACTGCCCATAGACGTCGAGGTACTGCTCGGGATTGACCAAGGGATTCCAATTGGCTAGTGCCGATGTCAGTAGAGGGCCGATTAGGCCGGGCGCTAGTTCGCCGAGTTCGTATAGATTATATTCTTCAAAATGGTTGTCCTAGTTTCAATGGAAAATGGAAAAAATGTCTCATTTAAAAAAATTTACAAAATATTTTAGATTCATTGTAGAATAAAAGAGAAACGTTATTTTTCCAAAAATATCGTTAAATTATAAAAAAAAAATCGGATAAAAATGAAACAATTATTCTGTGAATTCCCTTACCTGTAAACTTTTAAATATATTCGCAATCTGACCCAACGAATACGTCTGAGAACTGTCCATCAACTTGTCAACAATACCCATAACAGAATTCAAATTATCAATCATCTCATCCTCCTTCCTTAACACATCCTTCAAAGATTTCTCCTCTTGTTCCAACGCCATGATTTTATCCTCGTTTATCCTACTGTTCCTGTCTATCTTTATTATATCCTAACAAATGGAAAAATAATAATAAATAACCGATGTATTTACAGGGTAGCCCACAGAAGTTATACTTTATTTCTAAAATATTTTTTAGAGAGAAACTAATAGGGCCACCCCATACCTAATAACAATGACTAATTATTTATAAAGTCTGTCTATATTACTTGTTCGCACATGTCGACCAACAAGTCAAGATTGTGTTGGATTTCTGGTAGGGCGAAATTGGAACATTTTTTGTGCACAACGTCCTCATAATGTTCAACACCTGGTGGCGCCTTGAGACCGCTAAGAGCGTGATATCCGCTTAGTACTCTCTGTTGAGGACCGGTCATGTCTATGACCTTGACTTTACTGAGTTCGCTAAAATATTAAAATGAACGATATTAATAGAAAATAAAATAGAAGACTAATAGTAGTTTGTTTTAAGTTCAAACAAAATTGTTTACCATAGACGTTTGGAGTGGGGTTAAATAAATAACCAAAATAAAGTTAAGTAATTTTAAAAATCAATAGATATTTCCATGAAAATATCTTAGAAATCAGAAAAACCAATGAAAAGTCTGAATGATTATGACGTCAGAATTTTGTATATATTTTGAAAAAAGCTACAATGAAAGGCGAATCATAGATAAATGAATATAACCAGACTTTTTTGAACCTAGGTTTTTTTAAGATATTCGGGAGAAAGGGGGCAAAAATGCAAACATTTCATCAGAGGTTTTACCACTTATTTTGATACTGATATTAATGATAGTGACAATTTAAAAAAAAATATCATTTATTTTTTGTTTAACCTAAAAACCCACTTATATATTTTTTAATTAGTAGGTTTTTTCCATCCCTGTGTATAATGCAGAGTTCCAATCTAAGGAGAATTGTTATCCTTAAAGAAGCAAGACAACTCTTTTGGAGGCTATCAGATTACATGAAACTGTCTGATGGTTATATTAAAGAGTCCTAATGTAAATACAACACCATATGCATTAATGCTTGATCTAAGAAATCATGAAATTCGTTTTGAAAAATAACAAGGAATTTGTTCATTTAATTCATTCCTATGAATCTCTTCCAGCCATCTTTTTTGCATTAAGAGTTTAGCAACAACTATTTCTTATCCCATAAAACCAATAGGTGATTTGAACATTTTGGAATGACAATTAGGAATTGATTATCTTCAGGGGTCCTGGAGAGACCTAACACTTTATTAGAAACCCCTTCTAACTTTATTTTTAGGGGGTTGTCATAAAAAATAACATTTTACGAATTTATTAATATCCTTGAAGTGTCACTTTTTTGGACCGCATTTACTTCAAAATGTCACTTTTTTGGCCACTTTTTATAAAACATTTATCATTAGTAATTCTATACAAAATTTATTCGATCAATAAAAATTTAAAACATTTCTTACATTTAAGTCCCTTTTCAAAAACAATGTAAAAAAAATATTGGCTCTACTTGATGAGTCACCTAAAAAATGTGTAAGATCTTTTTTGGCCAAACCAGAAGTTGATTGGCCTCTGCTAACGCTTCAGCCAGAAAACATCAATGTTGCAGCCTTAGTATACAAACAACCATTTCATATTCATTTTGTACCATATTTTGAAAATATTCCTTTTAATTTGAATTCTATTTGTGCAAGTGAAAATTAGCAGAATTAAGCAGAGAGTTGATAATTAAGTAACTTTCCTGATAAATTATTAATAAGGCCAGAATAGAAATTTTTGTTTTATTCAAAAGTCAACAATTTTATCGACAATTACTGATTTTCAAGAAAGCATTTTCTGTAGTGACTTTGCAAGCTTGCTGCATGGAGTATAAATGGTAAAATATGCGCTAGTCTAAACATTGTAAATTGTAATAAGCAGCTCAAATGTCAGGAAATAACTAGGGCTGTCTTGTATACAAAAAACATTTGGATTTTAATATACCTACCATAACAAAGCATTTTCCCTTAATTTGTATATTTTTCAGATGAAGCAATGTATATTTTTCAGATGAAGCAATGTACATTAATATTTTGTCAATTGTAGATACTTCAGTGTAAAAAAATTATTTAATTCAACTTAGACACATTTTCCATAAAAATAATTATGTACCTAAACATATTGTTTTAAATCATTTAAACACAAAATGTATAAAAAAGGAACCCCTCTTAAATCAAAATAAAAACAAAAAGAAACATCAAGACAAATAAAACATTTTTATTTATTTTTTTTTTTTTTCAAAAAGACTATTTAGTTTTTACCTTGCAATTCCCAAATTTCTATAAGCTCCTGGACGTTTACCTTTTTCAATAACATCGTCAACGCTTCTGTAATAGTATCTGCTCTTCTTGTTCAACAACTCTGTTTTCTTCCATTTTGACTCCCCCTTTGGCCCCTCAATCTCCTTATCAAACTCAGATTTTATAGCCTTGTCCTAAAAATTAAATAATAACCAATTAAAAACTACCAATGTATCCAGAAAATACACTTTTTAACTGTTTAAATAAATTTACCTTCATTTTAGGTATACTAGCCAATTTTTCCGGCCCATATGCCCCAATAGCACCCCTCCCCTTTCTCAGATGGGCCTCTACAGGCGCCTGTATACCCTGCAAGTCTTTGCCCAAACCCTTGCCAGGTTGGAAGCCCATTTGCAACAACAATTTCGCTCCTATGCCCTTGGTGTGCTTCTCCCAGTGTCCCACACCCTTATTAATTAAAGCAGGGTTAACTGCACTTTTGGTCCTCAATCCAGCAATATCTGCATTTATTTCAGTCATTGTGGATTGAGTTGGTTGCTTTTTGGAAGTGCCCATACCAAAACCTGAAACAAACAAGATTTTTGGTTGCTTTGTTCACTTTCTTTTTGCATTTCATATAGAACATACATTTGTAGGGATTGGGTCAGTGTGTATTTTATTTTTAACAATAGGAGAAACAAAATTGGATCCCTATTTACATTATTCTATTCATCTGGTGACCAATTTCGTTGGAACAACCTATCTATCACCTTTGAATTTATTTTTTATTTATTTACTGATCAGATCTTAACAATACAGTAGTATAATAATGGATGAATACATATAATAGTCAAATCTTTGATTTAAAATATGTAGGTACATAAGTATTTATAAACAATTTATACAGTAATTCTTTCTCATTCTATATTAACAAATCTTACAACTAGGAATAAAAGAATGGGTGTTCTATAGAACAGTTAGAAAAATGTATTTACCTAGTGATTAAATGGCACAGCAAATCCAATTCAAGATAACAAGTAAAGACAACTACTTATTTTAATAATACAGCATATTAACAATTTATTGAAAAGAGGGTAAAGTAAGCAACTTAAGTTCCATTTAAATCAGTGCAATAGAATACAGCACTGGTAAAAACACAGTAACTTTGAAGAAAAGTTATAAATCCTACCTGATCTAACTGGAACATCAGTTTCAGATTCGTCTGAACTGTCTCTCGTTTTAAATGAAGACATTGGTTCATCCTCCTCCGTTTCTTCCTTCTTAACATCCTTGTCTTTCTTTTTACCTACTTGGTGTATACCGCCTGCAACAAAACCTATGGGCGCAGAGTAATTCTTAGGTTGTTGTTTCTTTTGCTTGTAAGAATTTTTATCATCTTCATTGTCGCTATCATCGGCCCATATGCCTAATAGAAAATTGAATTAGCAAAAAGAGTCGAATGAATTTATTAAAATAATTACGTATAATAAAGTAAAGACGTTTTTGTTACCATAAATCTGATGATGTTTACTGAATTTTTTACGGGCTCTGTTAGGGTTAAATTCGTTCTCCAGATCATAGTCGGTGATTTCAAATTTTTCCATTTCGTCATCGGACATTATGAAAATTATTTATTGTAATTCTGGAAAGTGGTAATTATAAAAAATCAGGAATATGCTAATTGTTGAAGAAAACGATTTTTAGGCAAAACGTACCGACATATGTCAAAGTCAAAAGTGACGTTGACGACGTTAAATGGGTCGCGTTCGAATTCCGGGATCTCGGTATAACCTCAAAATGTAGAAAAAGAAAGGGTTTTTTTAAGGAACTGATAACTACCGAAGCTGTAGCCGTTGTCTGTATAAAAGTTTATTAGGGCTAATTCCACTGTTGTGTTAAACGAAGACAAAATTGCTGCCGTGGGTAATGATATGGCAACCCTGTGAGCCAGGTGAATAGGCAGGCAATGATATAGATAGTCACATAGACTGATCATCCATGTTTTTCAAAATAAACTTAAGCTTATGTCTTGGAAGTAAAAATGTGGGTAATTATTTTTTTTACTATATTTAAAGGCTGAAAATTGGTTTTAGGGCACATTTTTGCTAAATCGATTCTGACTAATAGGCATTTGTCAAGTAATATAGCCGCTCGCAAATTGACCCGCTTTGAGCAATCTATATATGTCCATTGACTCTGTCAAAGACAACAGGCCCACAGAGTTGCCATAAATAACCTTTCTCTACCCACGAACAGAATTTTGACAGGACGTTGGAATAATTTCACTGAATTGTAACGGTTACAGTTCAGTGAGAGACACTATATAAAAATCGCAGTCTGTAGAACGAAAATAGACGTATCGATAGGATATGTATCGAAATTTAAGAATCCCTGTATTGACTGATCGAACCCAGCACTAAACTCGATCCCACCAACCTTTATATTACCGAACCCGCCTGTATTGTTGTCACTTGTCACTTTATTTACTGTCAAGTCATTTTAATCTTTTTGAAGAAATATTGTTTCTTTTGTAATCTTTCCAGTTTGCAGCTTAGAATTGCAGTTAGAATAACTTATTTAGACGTTTTTCAATAAGATAAGTCTAAATATCAAATAAAACTATGGCGGAGGGAATGAAACAAACCGTCGCCAGCATGTTAAAAGGCATAGAAAGGTGGGTATTATTTGATTTTCATCCATACACATGGTGATTTACATCCTTTTTATTTCAGATACAATCCGGACAATTTACCAACGCTGGAACGCTACGTTGAGGTTCAATCAAGAGAAAATTCGTACGATTTAGAAGCTAACCTAGCAGTATTGAAATTGTATCAATTTAATCCTCTTAGTTTCAATGTTGAGGTTACTTGCCAAATATTACTTAAGGCTCTCACCAATCTGCCCCACACCGACTTTATATTATGCAAGTGTCTCCTTTACGATAAACAGGTAATTTTTTAAGATATATAAATTTAGGTTAGTTACTCTCAGAAGTTTTTTTTGAAGTAATTTTATTTTTTCAGTTAGCTCAAGAACCAATTAATCAAATCGTTTATTTAGCGGATATTTTAGAACAGTGTGACTTCCAACTGTTTTGGACTAGAATAAGAACCCTGCCTGACCTTACTCAATCCATTACTGGTTTTGTAGATTCTATAAGGAAGTTTGTTTGCCATGTAGTAGGTATCACTTACCAGACCATCGAGAGGACCCATTTAGCACAATTGCTTGGAGATGTGGATGATAACACTCTTAAAATATGGGTTAAGAAATACGGATGGAAAGAAATGGCTGAAAATTTGATTTTTATTGCTAATCAAGATGAGAATATTAAAACAAAGAATATCAATGAGAAAATCGATTTCGAAAATGTCGGGGCTATCATGGCGTCTTGTCGTTGAGACTTTTGTTTTTGAATAAACTTTTTATTAATTAGTTGTGTTGTTTATTTATTTTTCTCTTTAAATATATCCACAGTTCTGAAAATACAAGGTTTTAGGTTAAGTTTTGTAAAGGTAGGCAACACTTTTTACAATCTTCAAATTATTTTCATCACAAATTTTTATGGCTTTTGCTGACGATCCTGGGAACGAATTAAAAGAAATATAAATCATTTTAATAAAAAAAAAACACCCTAAAGATTTGATTTGTTTAAATTTCTAAATAACATACATTTTAAGACTGTGTGGATGATGAGTTGCATACATTCGGGCGCATTGTTATACTATTCTGAAGATTCTGACCCAATGAAATGTAGTTATATAGATTGTTCATTTATATCACCGTCCATATGTAAATCAGACCACTGAATATAAATGTTTGGTGATCAGACCCAGACGATGAAAACCGAGTTTCACTGGGCGAAGGTTTCTCTATCCAATATGTGCAATTATGTTTTTTTGTCCCAGTTGTGTGTACTCATTTATAAAAAAAATCTAATTTGATTAGAAATTGGAACGTGTATGTTTAATGAATAACAAATTATTTTAGTAGATGTTGAAAAAGACCTCCATTAGTTTGCATACAAACCAATCTAGTTTCAAATGCTTTTCGCACTTTACTTACTTCGTTGTTAAATTGTAATTATCTAAAATAAAAATTTGTGTAGGTAATTATTTTTTTACAAAGGTAGAAAATTGATTGTAAATCACATTTGGGCTCGCATAGGACGACCAAGGATACATATGCCGCGTTTGAGAATCCACATCGGATGCATTTTTACATCTCGAGCGTTTTTTTATCCACATCGGACACATCTGTCTCATTCCATTTACGTATACTGAATCACGTGATCACATCTCAGATGCATCCGATGTGGATTCTCAAACGCGGCAAGAGTCAAGTATCCTTGAGTGCGACCAAAGAGGATTGAGTGCGACTCGCTTTTCGGCGTCTTATTTACAAATGGGAGATCAATCTATATAACTGTATATCATTGGGCCCCCATATTTTCTAGTGAAGAACAACAAAAAAAATCCAAAAAAAAAAAACTGATAACAAATAAGTCTAGAGATGGCCGGTTTGTTTTATAACTGTTATAAATTAATTATTTGTTTAATTTAAGCAATGGAGACAATATTATAAGTATAGTTTAAAAAAGTTACTGATACAGTTATATATATGAACATTTAAAAACATATTTCCCAATTAGAAAATTAAATTTTTACATTCAACATAATCTATAATATTAATAATGTTCCTTAATACAGTGGTGCCTGGTGTTTAAAGACATTGGGTGTCCCGCAAGATTCTGCCCCTCCCGCTCCCATTGGAAGCAATTATTATTTTACAGTTTTTCTGTCTCTGTAACGTGTGGAGGGTGGGTTGCCCCGACGGCACTTAGGCCTCATTAGGTCTCCTCCTGAGATGATGGGCACCTCCTAGCTCGTGAGCCATTTTACAGATTTGATGTAGTTGACAACGTCGCCAAGAGATGCTTCTTTAATATCGGCCGGTGTTAGCCAATACTCGCCGAACACAAATTTTTTAATAAATGAGAACGTCGAACAATTGTAAAGGATATGCTCGATGGTCTCATCTTCTTGTTCGCACCCTCTGCAGAGTGCGGATTCTGACAGTCCCATGATATGGAGATGCTTTCGTACTTGCGGCAATGACCAGTCAGAATGCCTGTGACTAGGCGCAGATTTTGTCTAGTCATAGTCAAGTATTTGTTTGCTGCAGTGTTGTCAGAATAACTTAACATGGCAACTCTACAGTTTCTTGTTTCGTCCCATTTTTCCTTGAATTTCACAAGGGAACGTTCTTTGATTAGGTATGTCACTACCGATTGCGTTAGGCCAATAGAAGGGCCAGGTCCAGAAATAAAAATCAGAAGGGTTTTGGAATAAAGTTAGTTAGAAAGTTAAAACTGTTAAAAATTGTTACATGAGCTGTTTTAAAACAGAAAACAGGACATAATGAGAAGAGAAAGAGGAATCACAGAGGGAACAAACATGTATTATGTTTCATCAGAGCCGACGAGAGGGGGAGGGGGGGGGTAGCCGGGAAAAATTTCCGGAGCCCGAGCACAAGTGGAGGCCCGGCAGCTTTAGAAGTTCGCCACAAAAGGGCGGAGGAGCACTGGTTTATGTAAAATACAAGATGAGGACCTTTTTTTTGTTTTAGAGATTTTACTAAAAAGGATCTAATGCTTGGGGACTTTTTTTTAGTAATGTGATACTGAAATACCTTAATTTTATTTTTAAATTTTCGCGGGGCCTCACCTAGAAAATTGTCCCGGGGCCCCACCTGGCTCTCGGCAACCCTGTGTTTCATATTCATCATCCTTAGAATTATTGTTCTACAATTTTGTTTTACACTGTACATTAAATTAGCAAATAAAAGAAACATAATGTCCAGTATTTATTAGCAGTTATGTTTCACCTTGTAATATGAAATTAGGAAATGAACTAAACATAAAATGTTTCGTATCTAATTTTAGTTACAAATGTACAAACGGCAACACTGGTGATAAAACATAGAAATTACCATATACGGAAAATAGCATTAAGCCCAATAAAGTGTAATTGTTGTATTCAAATTTAAATCAAAAATATATTTTCATATTGCTAAACGCTAAACATAAATTGGACATCCCGTATAAACGTTTTCCTATCTCATTCAGTAATATTTGTGTACACGCGCAAATAGTTCCGACTCTAAACCAGAGAAAAAAAGTGTTTATGGGTTTTTTTATCAAGTGCGCGTACCTACAGCTTTGTGAATTGTGCAGTATATAATGCAGTTATTAATTGACTATGTTTTTGAATTATCGTGTTTTATATTCTTCAGTGATAGAAAAATGGAATATCAGTTTTGCAACAATAATTTGATAATACAAGGTAAGACTTTTAAATTAAGAATCTTTTTAAAATTTACTTAACCTTTTCTATATACGTTTTACCTACGTCTGACTTTACAAACCCGATTTTCAAAATATGTTTTGCACTATTAGATAGTAGTAGTTCAATATTATGAAAATGAATATAAAATTGCGGATTATCCACGTTTAAGAGGAAAATTTATGATAAAATTTCAAAAATTTCACATTTTTTAACATAAATATTTTGACGTTGCAAGCGTTTTGATTTTGTAGGAAAATATTATCTAATTCTTAAATTAATAGTACCTAAATTATTAAAAATTTATTTAAATTTTTTTATTTTGTTTAGCTAAAATAAAATAATCTACAGGGTATTTCAAAAAGCTGCATTTATCAAAAAAAAATATTCTTGGTAAAAAGTACTGTATCATTTGAAAATCCATAATCGATCATTAGATTTTATAAAATATCTATCTATTATATACAGGGAAAATAAAAAATAATGATTAATAATGAAGAGTAAATAATTTTAAATTTCTGTAAAGAAGAAAAAATAAGTATTGATAGGAATAATTAAAAAATATAATGTTATTTTTTTTAAATTGTGATTAGTTAAAATAACAACCTACAGGGTATCTCAAAAAGTTGTATACAGACGGAAAAAATTTCTGACATTTCCCAAAAAAATATTATATAGATATCACTTGAAAATTCGTAATCAATCGTCAAATTTTGTAAAATATAGGTTGATATACAGGATAAATAAAAAATATATAATTTATAATTAAGAGTAAAATATTTTTAAATTTAAATCAGTATAGAGCAAAATATTAAGGGTCGATAAGAATAATTAAAAAATATAGTATGATTTTTTTTTTATTTTAATTTGTTAAAATAACAATCTACAGGGTACCTCTAAAATTTCTATGCAAGTAAATAAAAGTTTATCTTACATTTCAAAAATAAAAAATATTTTTAATAAAAAGTTCTTAAAAATCCGTAATGACGAATCAAATGTTGTTAAATTTTGATAATATACAGGAAAAATAAAAAATAAATATTTATATTGAAGTAAAATATTTTTTGATTTTAGTATAGAGCAAAATATGAAGTATTAAAAAAATATGCTTTAGTTTAAATCTTTTTACTTGTTTTTAAGTGATTTCCAAAACCAATACTAAAGTGTGTATTCGAAATTTTTTGATTTTAGGAATTTTGTGCTTAAATATGGATTTTCAAGTTATGCAGAATTTTTTTAACAAAAATATATTTTTTTGTGAAGAGATTTTTTTGAAGATGTATAGTAAAAATATTTTCCTTTTTTTTTAATTTTGTTGTTGCCTTTTTTTTGGTTTTGCATACATGCATTAGTTTTAATTTATTTTGATATAAAAAAATTATATTTTTGGAATTAACATATTTTTATGTAAACAAATTGTTTGTTACACCATTGTTGCAGAACAGAGTCCAATTGTGGTAGCCATAACTCACGAATTCCTAATTTCTTGTTATTACTAGTGGCCACACTGATATTTATTTTTATTTAAAAACAAAATACATTGGGTATTAACATCTACTTACCTTTGGAATGGTAAGTTTTCAAAAATATCTGTAATAAATCTAAGTTTTGTTCCAATATTTACAGATAAATTTTTTAGCCATTACAATGCTTGCATGTATTACACATACTAACTATTTATTTTACTGATTTCCAATGGACTTGGTTTATTAGTTACAAACCTGTCCAATCATGTAACCACATGCTTATTTACCTTCTCCAACCACCATTTTTGTTTACAACGTTTATTTTTAGGTCTTAAAGCAAGAAATGGCCATAAGCAGGATAGTGGCCATAAGTAGTGCCATGACCCTACATTAATATAAAAAAAAAAAAAGAAATATTTAAATAACAACTATAAATAATAGTTGACAAACTGAGTAAAATATTTTTTGTAAATTCTTAAATTGCAAAAAACGTATTGTCTCCCCTTTTGTTATTTTCAAAAATTCCTATTACTAATTGTTGTTTTTCTTTTCAGCGAATTCCCGTCGAAAAATTTTAAATCGCCGCAATCGTTTCTAGTTATTCGGTAGAACGATGTCAATGGTTT